ACGCCATCGGATATTAAAGGTTCGCCAGAAGTGCGTGTGACTTTATCTTCAATATCACAAATAATATAATCACAATGTAAAAAATACGCTCGGCCAGGAACTGTCGTGAAAAAGCTCACTGTAGGCGCGCAGTAGTGAGTTACTGCTTACAAAAGTGTGATTGTGTGGGGGGCGTGTTTACAAAAGCAGAGGGGAATTCAGGAAATCACCGAAGTGTACATGAAAACGGTACCTGGGAGCTGACAGTAGGAAAAGCAGGGTAGTTATAACCTCCGGCGTCAAAGGTCGAAGTCAGTTGTACACAATGATCGAGAAAAGGGTTTCCAACCCGCAATTCCTCCTTTTCATGTGTAGGCCTGTTGTTGATTCAATTTCTATACAGGGAATTTCCGGGTTCATTCAGCAAGTTCAGTACCCTGACATTAGACCCACATCTTTCAAGCACAAGGTCCGTACAACACGCACGAAAATGGCGTCGGTAACAGTCATATTCATATTTGCAGTTGGGCTTTCAGAAGGTAAGACAACGGTTCAAGGTGCTTACTTTCTATTTCTGTCTCCTGTAGCTTCACATAGGCTAATATTTCACACATTGTGCATGGAATACCTGACTTTGATTACATTGTGCGGAATTGCTTTGACTGTTCTAAATATCAACAAGCATGCTTCGTTATATACTCTTCCGTTATTATATTCATCCTTAATGAATTGTTCCAACTTTCTCAAAGTATGACCCTTCAAACTTTGTTGTTGTATTTCACACACATGTGCTACGAATGTGTGTGTAGACTTTTCAGCCGTTAATTTGGGGGGAAAGAAACGCGGAATTGTGTGTTGGGGGACTTGCCTGGCCTTAGAAAAAATATGAACAGACGGTGGGGCGGGATCGTTGACACCATACGATCCAAATGGCGATGTTCATTATACAGATGTACATTTAAAATCTTTAGAATCTTAAATCAGAACTAAATATGTCTAGGTTGTTAGGAAGTTTGATACATTTTTTCACACGCTGCTTTAGTTATTTATTTCCAGCATGAAAAAGTTGTGGTATGATCCATTAGCCAAAAAGATGAAGGATATATACCCCTACCCCTGGGACTCATGCGTGTGCGCCTAACATTCTACTTCCAATTTAGCTTAGTTGTTTCCAAGATTGTCCAATGTTTCATCGTTTTAAAAGAAATATGAAGTATGGTCCAGCAGTGCAAGCATGAATTTGATGGTAATGAAACGTGATAGCCGGCCGTGTAAGTGAGCATTTAGGGGTCGTTAAGTACTTGTACACAATCGATCTTATCCTTTATGCAAAACTGACGGAAGTTTTACACCCAATGCCCAGAAACCACTTCAAGTTGAACGTGCATTTTCAAAAGGGCGCACAAACGGTCAGTTTTAATTTAACTTTTTTTTCATTACGGCTAGCTCGGGTAAAAAGAAATAAACATTACAAATACAAAATTAGCTTGGCCTTGGAGTCAAATGAACTATTGATTAAAACACGTTTGTGGGGCATGACTGTTAAGAGTTTGCAGGTTTATAAGCAAATGGGTTTATGCTTAAAACAGAAGCTAAAAGAGAAAAAAGATGAAGACATTAAGGCAGAAATTTCATTTTCCGTTTCATTTAGTAAGTGACTCTATTTAAGATTTAATCTGAATGGTTTGATTTGAGTAATGTTACATTGGTGGAATCCAAAATATTAGTTGAATCGTCATGGAATTCCCCTTACACATGACAATAATGAGTTCATTTTTAGGGAAAGATGTTTTTCCTTTTTATTATTTTGTACTGTTTGGCATAACAGGGAAAAGGATTTTTTTTCCTGCTACTTGTTTCTCTCCCCATATTTCCATATAATTCGTACACATTTTTCTGGTGAGGATCTGCTTTTTTGGTCCTTCTCAACTGTGAGTTTAATCAAACTCCATCTACACAAAGACCTTAATTATAACACAGATGTGTGGCAAGCAATGACGTTATAATGATCTCCTTTTAATTCAAATGATATGCCTGCAAATATGCTTTATACACATGTTTTAACAAAATTGAAGAAACTGTATAATATATTGTATTTATACAGCATATTTGTTTTTCATCACTGCAGTACTAAGTGCATAAATATCCCAGATCCAACCTACGTTTGGCTATTTACCACCGTGGAGAAAAATTCAATCTGAATTTCAATCATCTGTTAGAAAATAGATGTAATCAATAAAATTGACAAATTCACTTTTTTCTCTCGAACTGTGTGTATCCTTCTCCCCAGTATTCAGATTTGAACGAGGAATTGCAGTTACAGCGGATTCAAGTGTTACTGTCATTTCTGGTGGATCAACTAATCTCACGTGTACATATGAGGTGCAAGGAACTTCTGTTGTCAGTCTTGAATGGAGAAAAGGTGCAACGTTCGCAAGCGGAACTCGAGTTGTGAGGTTTCAGACACCTAATTTTGATACAGTCTATGGCCCTGTTTATGGTCCACCTGTTTACACAGCTTACAGAGATGGTACCATCAGCTCAGGCATACTCACGTTACAGATTTCACCTGTCATTTATAAGCCTAATGAGACTGAAATATACTGGTGTCGTGTCGTGGTAACTGGCGGAGTCATAGTGAAAGAAAGGTCAACTACTGTGACAATTATAGGTAGGCTTTTCTCTTCTTATATTGATGCACATCTGCAAAGCTTACAGATATATCATCCTGTATTTTCCACACATTTCCCCTGAGAAAGCAAGTATCCCCACAACCTTTTCAGTCTCCATAATGCTTGGAATTCAGCACGTTTTAGTAGTTCTTTTTAACCTTGTTTCACGTACATTTTGTGCGTGTGATCTACAGCTATCTGTGCATGAACATTTGCATGCACTTGAAAAGGAACAAAATGATCCAGTCCATGCATAAGCACCACATAATTCATTAACTATGATTTTATTCACCAACTATTCATCACAATATGATGTGTAATATCTACGGACAGAAGTTCTTCAAATTTATTGCCTCTTGTGTTGAGTAGGTAATCACGACAGAAAAAAAGAGCAATATACCACTGAAACCAATAGTTGTGCGTGTGGAGACACAAGCACGAAAACCAGGCGTGAACCACAGCACGCGCGTACTCGGTTCGTTTGCACTACACGTCCTGGCTCAAATAACATTTCGGTACTCTATACATTATATGCCCACTTTGTCTTCATTGATATACATATACATGTCCATGCACGTACAAATAAGCACGAGAAGATTAATCAAGGAGACACTATTAGCAGTGCACTAAAATGTCAACAAATGCATCATTGTTCTTCAAGGTCCACTTCCTATAACAGACCAACACCTCAAAGTTTCAGCTACGATACTCATCTGTCATGGTTACATTTTAAGTGATGCTCAGCATTCCTGAGAAATATTTACTACCCGTAGAAACGACCAATATAACAATATTCAAATATGCAATTACTCACACAGTTCCTCCAGATACTCCAAATATAATTGGAAGTTCATCTATGACTGAGAATATTGAGACTACACTTACATGTACAGCAGACATGGGATACCCCGATGACTTGAGTCTGGTTTGGTCCAATGGAGGTTCACCTATCGCTGGTCCAACTACAAGTTCGTCTGCATCGGGTAGTCACTATAGCTTTGCCAGCACGCTGACCTTCACACCAAGACGACAGGACAATGGCAACAACATCACGTGTAGAGCAAGCAGAGCCCCATGGATCTTAGGGCCCCCTGGAACTCTGGGTCCAATTGATGTCCATTGTGAGTTTAAACACTAAAAACTAATTCCAAACACAAGTCTATCTGAAGGATTAACTCATTTGGGAAAATTCATTGAAAAAATGTATCATATAAACTTTAAGACGTTAAGTCACTTTAGAAATTAATGGGGAAAAATCAGTGAAACTAGTCATGCGTGTCAGCTTTATTTAAATTCAGTTTATATCAACCGAAACGTCTTTATTTGTTCTGTGTTTCCCTGAAGGGTTGAAATAAAAACATGCACAGTCGAGGTGGTCTTGAAGCCAAAGCAGTAGGGCCTACAGCCATGGGCCTTGCCTTGATTTTTCTAAGGGGGACAAACCATTCTTACTATATTGGGTGAGAAAGTTCCTGAGGGCTTACTAGGTCTAGCGGTTTAATGAAAGACGACATGAAAGAGGAATGGGATATTTTTAAGAAAATCTGTGACCTTCATCTAATTTTCTCTCTTCTTTCTATTTATTTTTTTCCTCCACTTTTTTGAACTTTCCACAAATTTAGACGGGGGCTGGCATGTTATTTCAGGCGACTTTTTACCGCTTGACCACCACTGCCTGTCCCAGATTATGTTAAAAGATAATGAAAACATTCTCTCATCGTAAGGCTGATGTAATGTTTAAACCTGTTCTCCATACAGTTTGCTGCAAAATGGTGAGCATTAGCTGTCCATCGAGGTCTGCATCAGGAAATATTGTGCAATTGAGTTGTCAATCAGACAGCAGCAACCCAGCAACAGTATTAGTTTGGTCGACAAATAACCCGGTCCAAACAAATCCAACTGGGCCTGTACTTGAAGATGGTAACTTCGGTGGCTATGAGACAACCCTCAGTTTGACAACAGGTGCTTTGACTAAGCAAGACAACGGAGCTACGTACAGATGTTGTGCAATGACAACTATATCTTGTGCTGGCATTGTGTGCGACAGTTGCGTTCTGAATGTGGAATGTAAGTTATCAAAAGTTAAAATCAGATTTCTTTTCGTTGCTTTCTACTTTGCAATCGAGCTGAAATTCAACTTTACGATAAAGGTTGATAGTTGTCACACTGATAAATATTATCTGTATTCGAAGACATTGCAAATCTTCAATAGAGTTGAAAATGAAATCTCCGTTTCACCATTACGTTATTCACTTTGAGCGAGGTTACTTTCCTGAGGATCAGTTGTGCTGAAATCAAGTTAATATAGGGTATGCTTCAACTGTGAAATTGTCCAGATCCTCCAGACTTTTCAGTGCCAACTGTCATGCCAAACAGGCCGGTAGAAGAGGGCGATACAGTAATCCTGTTCTGCAGTGCAGACGCCAATCCTAAGCCCAACGACTTCATAACATGGGAGAAGGTCGGGTCTCTAGACTTCTTACCCTCTGTCTACAGTGATGGTGCAAGCAACCTTACACTGAGCAGCATCAGAAAGGAGCAGGCTGGGTCGTACAGATGTCAAGGCAACAACGGGGTACCACCTGTTGTCCATTCCAGCACCGTTGACGTCATCGTACACTGTAAGAACTTTTTCTCACCTTGGAATGCAGGTGCCTTGTTAAAAAGAATTGTTAAATTGAATTTGATTTATTGTGCTTTCTTTTTCAATTTTATTCAAGATGGAGTGGGGATCTTAAATAAGAAAGACACCTCAGTTGGAGCAAACACTGGCTTCAATGCTACACTTGTATGTGAAGCTAAGGGTCACCCCCTCCCCAGAATGACATGGCAAGGTCCAGCTGGTGTGGAAATAACCAATCAGACTGAGCCTGGAAGGATATTTCAGGCCGATACCATTATTGATGGGGATGATATGTTTGGATTCACCGTACGGAGCATCTTACACATCAGTCAAGTGACTGCAATGGGAGATTACGGTTCTTATACATGCAACAGCGGTAATGGAATTGGAATGGTTGATACAGTAGCCATTGTGTTGAATGATAAAGGTGAGATAAAAAAGTATAAATAAGTCATTACCGGTGTAATGGTTAATATAGAAACAAGCTTTATTGAAAAAAAATAGTTTTGTCCATTCTTGATTCTGTTGTTTGCAGTGTGTGCGACATACTTTATCTGTTCTCCCCATGTAAATTCGGTATGTAGTCAGTACAGCAACTTTAAGCAGATGTAAACAAAGACGCAAAACTGCCATAGCTTTAACAAAGAAAATGGAGGTTAACATTTTACAGACGCTGATGCTTGTTCCATACAAAAACCAAAGAGATTGGAAAAACCATTAAGATTTAATATTAACAGCCGGATATTTGCTCTACAAGGCTTTGCGTGTTCTCCATTCCATAGTCAAACCGCTGCCACCAGAGAATGTGCTGATCAACCCAGGTACAGTCACAGAATCTTCGGTGACTATTTCCTGGAGACCTGGGAATGATGGAGGCGAAGCTCAGTGGTTTTTCGTCAATTACCGCGAAGTTGAAACAACGGCAGAGTTCGACCCAAACACCCAGGCCCGAATAGACAATGATGCTTATGAGTATGTGATTAAAGGATTGCGAGCTTACACTGTGTATGAGCTTGAGGTTTACGCTGAGAATCGACATGGTGTTGGCAAAAGCATCACACGGATTTTTAGGACTCGACGTAGGTCCATCTATTTGTGTTCTTTTTTAAAAAATATTCAGGAGCAACAATTGAAAATGCTTCATTAATTCTGAAATCTTTGGTATTGCCAATTTGCAATAAATTCTTATTTTCTCTGGATGCTAAATTTGTTTTCTTCTTGCCTGTTTTACTTACAGCTGACTCTCCTGCGAATTTAGGTAAGTTTTTAAGCTTGAGAATGTCAGCTGCACTATTTGGCTGGAATTTTACTCCTTGACAACAACGATTGTTTATTTTATTGTATCATTATCTTCTTGTTTGCGTGTCATATGATTTTACTGGTTTAATTTTTCGGGGGGGTCTGAGTTATAACCAGATAAGTTAACAAATAGTGCGGTAAGTTACTAAAAAGGCAGGCTTGTGTTTTGTACTTTCGAAAGACTGACCGAAGGATTATCATTTTCAGGTATTGTTGTCACTGCAAATCAAGATACAGGAAGCGTTTTGGTTGAAGGTATTCCCCAAGATGGTGACACGTCAACATGTTTACAGTTAGAAGCTCGTCTTACGGACCAGAGTTCATGGTTTAATTACGGTGACTGTCTCGAGACAAACACAGACCTAGCCATTCAAGAGGTTAGATCCAGCTACTGCCGTAATGGGTTCTGCAGTCTGGCTACGTCTGCAATCTCAGGTCAGGCTTATTATGATTTGGAATCGTTTTGATGACACTCTCCTAAGCTTCACACAATTAAGGCATTTTTTTTAATTGCTAAATAGTGCTACATGAGATTATATTCAACATTACTGAATATAGAAAAATTTTACTCAGGGACTTGTAGAAAGTACATGTAGTAGTAAACATGTTGTCGATACTGTTACAAAATTTGGGTCTTTTCTTTTTTTTTAAGTTAAGGAGTAAGTTCCTTTAAAATATTAGTGGTCTGGCCACAGTACTGCAGGCCCTTTTTGTTCAGTAATCTTTTGTTATTTCATCTGAGCCTGGAGCCCTGGCTCTGGCTCTGTGTTCCTCAGTAATGCTAATTTGGTTTGTTCATTGCAGTCTTAAGAATTCCTTTCCTTGTTTTTATTAGCAGTGGTGCAACATTTCTTGCATAACTTTCTTTACAGGCTTATAACAGCTGCCTGTTAGGCTAGTGGGTATGGACTTACGGCTGGGGCATGGTAGTGGATGGTGGTGTGATTTTCTTCCCTTATTTCTATTTTAGTTCCTGCTGCAGGATCCTTAGTTGAACGAAATCTATTTTCGCTATTACGTTACACCACCACTAAAATTATTTTTAAGGGTTCGATGGTTTGCGCAGTCTTTCTGTATGTTCTAATTTATTTTCCTTAGTAGTTTTACCTAGTGCCCATTTCCCTTGCCACGCCCAGACTACGGTATTTCATCGTAGTTGGTCTCATCTGCTACTATTTTACACAGTTTCAGACTGTTTCAGTTTGTAACTCGCCCTCCCCTGGTGTTTTTGTCATAGGTGAAGAAGCGCCTATTAAATTTATAAATTCAATTGTTTCAAGGTATAATTTGAATTTTCTTTCTTGTATTCTTACAAATTTTTTTTTAACTTGATATAAATATAATTAGTTCCCCTCACTGGCGGTTGGATCTGCTTAGGTTTCCGTTACAATACCTTTTATATGTTATTCTTTTTCATTTTGCACTCTATTCTTATAAAACCTAGTTGGAGGACAGTCTAATAATGCTGGATTGATCGCTGGTCTGGTGATTCTTGCCATTATTGCATTAATCAGCATCACGTTGAATGTTGTAACAATCAGAGACATCAGAAGAAGTAGAGGACCACCACGAGGTAAGGTATAAACTTAACGTCGTGAGAGTAAAGTAGTGTGGAATCATGTTCCTATAAATGATTACAGGAGATACAATCTCCAGCAATTTCATGGGCTAGTCTTTAACTTCCATTTATTTGAAGTGATCCTTACATGTTGAGTTCGACTGACTCTAACAGACTGTTTGAGTACGCATTGTTAACTGGACAAAGTCCACCTCTTGTAAGTAGTAATTTGATATAACCGAACACTGCATCACAATATGACAACAAAAACCTGTTGTACTTCAAAATCAGATGTTTACATCCGGTAACAAGGTATAGGGTTTGAATATCCCATGGAAAATTCTTTCATTGGGAGTTGTCACTCTAAAAATTAGGTCTCCTAATAACGATCAGGATTAGTATAACAATTCTTGATTAAAGAAAATTTTCTATGAAGAAGATTTTATGCGCCAGCGTTGTTATTTTTTTTTTTTTTGGGGGGGGCGACATTCGTGATTGCAAGCAGTTTCTTAGTATTTATCTTACATTAAACAAAATTGCTTCTTTTTCAGAAAACGGAAAATGTGCTCCAAAAGGGTACGTGTATTTCCATGACATTCCATTCTTGAGGCTATCGGGAAAAATGGTGGTGTAAACTAAAATTGATTTTTTTTGTATTAATTAATAAGATTAATTAACTATTAATTTTAGAATAGGCAGAAATTTTGTTGCGTTTCCTGTTCAACAACGTGCACATTTAGCACTGCATAATTGCAGAATGTATACACTCTATACCCCTCTCTCGAGGCAAGAAAAATTACAAATAGCATCACTATTTTCTCTACTTGGTATTTGTGGCTAATTGAATTTTCAGAAAGCACATTTCACAGGGGAAACGTGCTGTTGTCCATGAAGCAGTGGAATACCAAGACTTAGGTGAGACCCCTTTATAAAAAGTTTTTCAATAAGAGCAGAGCATACTTTTGCACAGATTGTTTTATGGGCAGTTCAACCTGTCTGGTTGCATATTTTTCCACAGACCCTGTACCCTTGCATGTTCTGGCCGTTAGTGGCAGCAGGAATCCAGGTACATCGGCCTATGCCAGTATTTCGGAAACTGCCACGGCATTCTCGCGAGACAAGCTGAGAATTGAACGTGAACTTGGACAAGGTGCCTTTGGAAAGGTGATGCTGGGGAAAGCTAGTGATATTGTCCAGTTTGGAACTACCACTCAAGTAGCACTTAAAACCCTCAGAGGTAATTCGCGAAATCTGGAGGGCCAGTCTTGGCATTTTCTGTCTAATATTTAACACACCTAAGTATATAATTTTAGCTTTTCAAGAAAATGCTCAGTTTTATAAATGTTTGAAACGGTCATAATTACTGAGGGCGTACTGTACAACATTTTGATGTCAGATGACGCAGATCTAATGGAGAGGGGAGATTTACTACGAGAGTTGGACTTCATGAAACAACTTCCAAGCCACGCGAATGTCGTCAAACTCCTGGGCTTTTGTGTTGATAGAGGTAAAACTAATATGTTGGTTTCCTAACACAAGAATTTTTTTCCTGAAACAATCTAAAAACGGCATGCAAGGCAACTTTGAAAGGAAACATAATCCACATATGCAAGATATTACAGGAACTATAAATGTAAGGTTAATAAGAGGAGTTACATTTTTATCATATAGAGGGTGTGAAAAATCACTTAAAAGCTAAACATGTTTATGTATTTCCTACCATTTAACCAGTTACAGGCAAGTGGGTAGTAGTCGGCGAGGAGTATACTTGACGTTCACGCCCGAGACTTCACATAAACAAACTCCCAAGCTCTTACAGGAAATACAGTTTCTACAATTACAACCTTTATGCAATACTTTTTGAGCAACGTGGGATTCTGTAACAAAAACTATTTTTTAAAGAAATGTATTTGCTTGGCACAGATCCGATTTATATCATCATGGAGTACATGACTAACGGCTCACTCAAAGATCTCTTAACAAGCAGTCGAGCTAAAGGCAAGCAGGTGTACAGCAACCTTCATGGAAGAAGTAAATCTCTGACATCCAGAGACCTCCTCAAATTTGCTAAAGACGTAGCTGAGGGTATGGCCTTCCTTGCTTTACAACAGGTGGGTATCAATGTCTTCTCTCTGAAGGTCGGTGTTTAAGGGTATGCTGAAGGGTATGTTTAATTAACCCTAACAGTCCTTAATCCTTCACCTGTTGGAGGATTGAGGACTGCTGGGTTAAGTATGGTGACTTCAATTAAATGCACTCATCCAAAGGAACTGTTCATATGCTTTTCTCCTGGGTGCACTTGACATTTATCGGTTAAATTTCACCACAAGGAGTTTTTGTATCCTCAAAATACCCACCTCTCGTCACTTGTTGGTAATAAATCGTCGGGGCTATTTTGGTTTCAAGTCAAGGCCCATTGTTACTGAACATCGAAGCTGTAAACGGGATCTATGAGTAGTTAGCTGTAAGACAGGGCACAAAGTCGGATGTTCACCAAGATCGGCCAAGATAATGAAAGGACCCTTATTAGCAGCAGTATAAACGTGTGTACTTTCTTTCCTCCGTAACAGTGCATTCACAGAGATCTAGCTGCACGAAATGTCCTCGTGGGTGAGAACATGGTGTGTAAGTTGTCTGATTTCGGACTGGCTCGTGACATCAAGAATAAGAGAATGTACCAACGGCAGTCAGAGGTAGTGCAATTTTGTTTCCTCTTTGATAGACTCAGGGAAAAATCATTTTTGGCCCGTGTGAAAAAAATTTACAATCCTGGTGTTTTTTTTTTCTTCAAGGGACGGTTGCCCATTCGTTGGATGGCACTAGAATCAGTTGTTGATGACGTATACACAACAGAGAGTGACGTATGGTCTTACGGTATATTTCTGTGGGAAATCGTCACACTTGGTGAGTTTAAGATCACTTGCATTATAGCAGACAACATGTTTGCGTAATGTGACAACTTTCAACTAGAGTTCTAAACAAAATGATTATCTTCCATGTCATCACCTGTATATGTTACCAGTTTATCGAATGATTTAATTAAAATAACAGCGTTTAGTTGGTGTAACATTATGTTACAGGCGCTCGTCCATATCCTACTATGAGCGCCAAGACAATGATAACCAAGCTACAGGAAGGATACCGCATGCCAAGACCCGACCACTGCCAGGACGAAATGTAAGAAACCAACAATACCTTTCTAGAAAAACCTGAATAGCTAAGGAACGTGAAATGTGATCTGTAAAACAGAAGCCTGGGCGGATTCAGTTTTTTTTTTCCCGTGGATGGGAATTTTTTCTGTACGAGAGCAGGGCTACATGTATTTGTCGTCATTGTGGAAGTCGTTTAATATCTTTTTTGGTCTCTATTCACGGAAAACAGATCCAACGTGGTTTATGTGTTTACGGGGTCTTCCAGCCAAACCATAGACCCCCCTCTCCCCAAACGGGGCAATGAGCAGGGTTACCCAAATTCCTCCTCTTGATCTGAGTCTGGTAGCATAGGTTTATAGAGTCGCCTTTCAGCACTTTATCCACATTGTTTGAAAGAGTAAATACTATTTTATCCAAGTAAGTAGCTTTGCTCGGCAGTAAATCCAGATCTGGCTGCGAGCCCAACACTATAGATTCCAAGATGTGAACCTTATGTGGGCTCTATTCCTATTAAAGTAAAAACATTTGTTCGATGTTGTTTTTATTCCCGTAGATATCAGCTGATGTTAGCCTGTTGGCAGGAGGAATCTACCGCACGACCGTCTTTCACAGAGATCAGTCAGAAGCTGGAGAAAGCACTCGAGTCACCACATGTAAGTCAGTCTGTGATTATTAACAGTGTACAAACTGTATGCTTCATCCGGTTTTGGCGTTAAACTGGAAAAAACCATTCGACAGTTTTAATTATGGATTCAAGATTTCATTTCCAACGTTGAAATGTCAGCACAAACTTTTGTCCAAAGTCAGTTAAAGCTATTCATTTGATATTGTAAGGAGAGAAATGTATAAACAGTGTCACATTTGTTCACAATGTTTCTTTTGTGTTTTTCATTTTGTCATAAATATGAACCGCAAAACTGTTAATTTGTGTTTGTTTTGTGCTTTATTTCTCTCCAGGACTGCATAGCGTTGTCGGATTATCAAGAGTTTCAATACGAAGTCACAACTCCAGACTCTCCTGATGAAAGGATCTAGCAGAACGCAGGATACAAAGTAAACATGCCATTAAGCCACCATTATGAGAACAAACGTGTCTTCCACATCAGCAGAGAAAGACACCATTAACCGTGTGTCTCTCCGGCTTCTAAGGAAGGGAAAACAAAAGGGTGATATCACTGCAATGATAGAAATAACGATCTGTCACACTGACTAAATGGCAATGTCAATCGAGTCATTACTAATTGCAGTCTGTTGTTTTCTTGTGGATAAATTAGGGACAGATGGTAGACATAAAACATTGCCCGTTTTGTACGGGCTCTTATCGACCTACTTCTCTACTTATGAAGTAGTCAGTACACCGGGCCGAAGTTTGGTTTGTTTTTTTATGTTTGTTTTCGCTTTTGTTTTTGCAAACACCTTGTCCTCATTAACGGTAAGTGCCTCAGAAGGCGAGTAAGTAACTGACTGCTAAAATATTTCAGAATTTATCCTCACTCGAAATATCCTATGTTTCCGGCATTCTAATATTAATCACAAATGAAGTCAATTCCTACCGTGGAAAGCACTAAAAAATAGAGTTTAAATTTGTGTATCTGTACGCACACGGTAAAATTTGGCAGATAGCTTTCTGAAAATAAAGGCTTGTTGTGGTATAACAATAATAAAAAATACAGTTTAAAAGTACCAGTAAATAACTTGTTACCTTCACAATGAAAGATATTTCTGGTTAATTTCGAGGTAAGTTTTTTTTTAGTAAAGGAAATAAGTAGTATAAACAAAAATATTTTGCAAAAATTTGCCTCATTACATACTGGGGACAATGGATTGAGTATGTATATGCGCGTGTTTTCCTCTGTGCACTTATTATTTCTGTTTCTGTTGAGGGACAAAGACCTCTTTGAACAGAGATTGAAAAAAATGATTGTAATCAAATTGAAGAAGCTGTATGACTGAAAAACTAAGCTATGGCAATGTTCTTACTTACTGACAGTACCGTATATGTATGACGGAGCAAATTACTTCCTTTTGCAATGTCCGACAACTAGTAAAGAAATATTTAGCCTCCTGACTACACATGCAACTGTTCAGGCCTACTTGCCCACTTATTCAGTGATACAAATACTTGGGAAATATAGGTTATATTTCTCACTCTTTTGAAGTTTGAGCTGCTCTGGAATCTGCTCTGTACCTGTCTTTGTAAATTCCAAATATACCTCAATTTATATTTTTATACAATGTAGCATTATTGTCATCGTAGCAGATTAAACAAATTGATTAGCGATTTAACTTTAATATTCTCATTTTTTCCTTATCACTTTTCAATCAGAACAGTTGCCAGTTTCCACTCTTTTCTGTATCGGCTTTTTATCATCATTTCCAAAGCTTTGGAGGCAATGTATATCTACTGTATCATAATTCAGTTGGGGTATAGTTAGGTAACCAAATATTTTATGCAAAGAATCAAATGAAGGTACAAGTAAACCTCAATGGCGACGTCATGTCTCATGATGATAGGCCAGCGGACGAGGGGATCCCTGCTTTCAATGATCTAACGTATTGTGGCGAAACAGGGTCGCCGTGCAGACTTGTGTTAAATCTTCGTCGCTATTAATTTAGGCACGCGTAAATCATGCATTAAACATGCACGCAGCAACAAATCAGAACCGCACATTACCTCGGGTCTGGGCGCTGGCTGCGTGGAATGTCGGGACGTCTTAAGATGGCAGCGTAGTTACAAGAGCTCTGCGGAGTTGGGGCGTGTATACTGAGTTTTAAGTGTTAAATCTAACGAACGACAGCCGGTGGTTGGGGATCTACCTCGTGTGCCTGGTGCGATCGGTTAGTGTGGTGCTTGTTCTCAGTTGCCGGAGTTGCTAATTATCATGATCATACCTCATGGAAGATTGGGTGGATTGTTAGACAGCGCCGTGTGTTTACGAAGTGTTAGATTATAAGGTTGGGGAACCCATGTGAACCAGCTTAGACTGGAGGGATTACGTGCCGTTGTTACATGCTTGTTGGCATAGCGACGGTTGGTTGCAGTCCTGGGCTGGGAGCTTGTTTTCCTCGTTGAGGTTTACAGGGTGCAGGTTTCTGTTAGAGTCTGGTGAGGACAATTATAATTGCCTTCTTATTCAACTTACATGTGTTATTTCATAATAAGTTGAAGTGGGTGAGAAATTTTCAAGTCACCTTGAACCTTGTAGCAGTTTGGGAAATGTGTTGCTTAGTACGGCATTGGAGATTATTTTTATTTAAGTCTGCCCAATTGTGCTTTAAAATTACAAAGATTATCTCTGCGTGTTTGGTTGAGACTCTTGAGTTATAAGCCATCGGCAGATTATTTAGATTTGAGGTTTACCTGTTGACTTCATTGTTACCTTTTGGCTTGAGGGTTACCTTGTTATTGAGGGTTACCTGGTTATTGTGAGGGTTACCTGGTCATTGACGGTTCCTGTTTTTTTTTTTTTTGTTAGGGTTATCTGCCCATTGAGGGTTACCTGGTCATTGTGGGTTACCTCGTTATTCACGGTGAAGGTTACCTTTACATTAAAGGTTACCTGGTCATTGCCAGGGTTACCTGGTCATTGTGGGTTACCTCGTTATTGTGAAGGTTACCTTTACATTAAAGGTTACCTGGTCATTGCCAGGGTTACCCTGGTGTAGGTTGAGGAAAAGTTTCTTAACTAATCACGTTCGTGGTGCAGTTGAGCACGTAGAGCTACTTACCCGTGAGGATCATTTGTACATAACTAATTGCTTTTGCATATACATGTTGACTGAAGCACTGACATTGAATAAACCAATCATGTAATTGTCCTAGAAATCACAAGTCACCATGAGATTTATAATATTCCTTTATCACGTGTATTTACATTCATTGTAACCTTTATTGATATTGGAGTCAATTACTGAATCACAGAGTGGTGGTAAACCTCCACCAAACGAACAGCCCCTAAGGCACAGTCCATTAACTGATATCCCCCTTGCTTTTGGATAGCTGCTCGTTCTTATGTAAGGTTTAACGAATGTATTTGTAGGATTAGGCCAGGCCAATTCTATCTCCGATTAGGCCCGTCTGCTGGTCCGCCTCAAAAAGGTGTAAGTTGTCCCGCCACAGTATCTCATTTTTCCCCAAACGCTCACACTGGTAAATGTCCCTTGAAATTAAGCAATAAGTCACTCAACGCTTCCAGGTGTTATCCATTCCAAGGGGGTCTCTGGTTTATTTTACTCAAGAACATTTGCCTGTGTCTGCACAGCTTCCACAGCACCCGTCGCTGACTCTAGTCTCACGCCCAACTTTTATCCTCGTACCCTTGGAAACGAAACCAACCAGTGCGGTGATTGACCTCTATAGGCCTATTAACTTTTAATGAAATCTGTTATACCGAGTTCTTAAAATTCACGTGAACATATCAAATTGAACATAACTTACTAAAGACGCTGTTTTTACACCTCGTGATTTGGGGCAAGCTTTTGCTAAATTACAAAAGAGATGCCTTCCAATGATAAACTGTTTTCAATTGACGAGAATGAATGGCACAAAGAAACCGGTTTATTCCAAAGATGGTGGTCGCTATGCAAAAACCTGCCTCAAATCACAAGGTATAGTAACAGAGTCTTTAGTCTGGGCAATTCCAATTGTTATGTTTATGTGAAATAATATAACAGCAGAGTCTTACCAGATGTTATTTAAATTTAAATCACAAAAGGCCAGGCCTAATGTACAAGTTCCTTTATAGATAATATTTGCTTATATGACACGTCCCCTCTGCGCATGTTCTTTGTGCAGGATATGAAAGCTGCTATTAAAAGAGCGTCCTTGCGCCCTCCCCGGTTTGATGCATGCGTTTCCCCTGCCCTTTCCTCTCAATCAATATGTCACGTAGGTATTTCGAACTACATGTCTACTGTGCAAGCACGTAATGTTTCTGCTATCCACTCTGTCAGTCACAACAACATTCAAATTCTAAGCCTATACTGCTTTTCCTTTATCTGTTAGGTTTCAGGTTCCACGTCACACGTAATCGTCACTCGTGCAATGCCAATAGGCCGCTGACCATGCTGAAATAACCTTAATTAAATGAAAACATGCAAATATATCTTTATTCTGCCGTTGAACGAGTACACGAAAGGAAATGGCGTTGAGAGTCAACATATACTTCCTGGTTGCTGGGCTAACATTTCTTCTCCCAGGTAAGTGGCCAGTTTGACTACAAATTAATTTCTGGAAGCTCTCCAAATCCAAGACACCGAAACCTTTCCCATTCTAATGGTATTCTAGTCTGATATGGTGCTCCCGTCGAACATCAGAGACACATCTCGAGGCTGTCTGTAACTTGTTTTTTGATGTGCTGAAAAGGGAGGGCATCTATACACAGAACAAACTCAAAATACGAGACAAAATAATCTCTACATGTGGACAACAACACAGTGAGGGCCACCGTCTTTGTTTGATAGAAATGTTGCCTATGTGGGTTACGTTGGGTTACAATAATAAGGAATGAAGACACTGGAAAAAGTGTGACCCTTTTCGTTACACGGTATTCAATGCTTTTTTCATCCAAAACTATCGTTCCAATTTCTGTTATTCATTGCCCATTTCTATCTTGTTTCGGTCACGGTTCTTGCTTTCAACGCTGCATAGTACTGCCTTTAAGTTCGACACTGAACGACACTGCTCTTAACTTCGACACTGCATAACACTGCTCTCACATTATGCACTGCACAGCACTGCTCTTTAAGCTTTTCATCCCGTTACACACCGCGACACTCCTCCTCCCTAGCTTACGTAACTGGACTCAGCTTTCTGCACCCTTGACAGACCTTTTGAAAAGTTTGCATTCTTAAATTACCGTGTAAATTTCCAACAAATTAGCCAGAACGAGGGTCTACCGTCGAGATCACAATGTTGATAAGCCATCAATTCATTATTACGTAACGTCTAATGACACACATTTCTCATATGACGTACTTCTCGTCCTGTTGTAAATATGATGATTTATGGAGTTATGTCAGTTTCTGTGTTTTGTTTACACCCCTCAACCTGATTGGCGTTAATTAGTATGAAGTCTGGGTTCGTTCTGCGGTTTCTAACATCTTGTTGGCAACTTTCACCAACTTGCAGAACTGGACTCGATCTTCCGACTCCCTGTTTACTACGTGTAGTGCAACGTTTTAACCAATCAATCATAGACCTCGTTCAGACCAGATGGATATTTTATGGTGGATGGTGTGAGAACACCAGGTATGATGCATTACGGACAAAGGTGTAATAACAGCCAAAACTTCATTTCAATTAGCAAACAGTTTCATCAATAACTAAACTTACCCTAACTTTAAGCGAATTATTAACACCTGATTTTATCTGCGGGAACAGTTTGCGTGGCGTGAGGGTGTTTTCAATGTTACAGGAAGTAATCTTGTTTTTCTCATACACTTCAGCCCTTTCATAATGTGTTGCCAACATGTGTTTCCGTTTGTAGTTTTACTAACAAGTCCCTGGAGTTTTTATCCTTCCTCTGCACTTTCCAGTTTGAACGCTGCACGCTTGTACATAGCCCTGTTTCGATTTCCTTAAACAAGTTCTCATTACAAAATCAAGGTTTTTTTTTTTTAAGTTCACTGCTGGAGGTTCCCTCTCAAAAAGCTGTTAGTGACTAGCACTTTTCTGCATTCATAGTCGAATGGTGTTCGTATCATGGGCGTTAGGGCAAAACAAAACTAAAACAAAAAGACACAGTGTTATAAATGGTTCCAATTTTCTTTTCTTGTGTTGTCACGTATTAATTTTTATTTTGATACGTGAATTCTTGCCACGCTTGTGCAGTTAGGAGTCACAGACCAATACTCAACTGTGCATGGAAGTGACACAATTGTGTAACAAACAGAAATGAAATGCCTTTCAACGGACCTCTGAGATCGCTATTATAGCACGCTCAACATTTTGTCTGGTGCTAACCAGCTGGTGACAAGGACTAAGTTTGTTAGATGAAGTTTTCTTCTGGTTTAAGACCGTAAAATACACGTAGTGGCCTTGTATGATATGCCAAGCACAGTGCCCTCTCATTAGGAAATCCAGTTTTCCCAGTATGCAATTTACATTCATGCATGTGAAACGGCTCGAAAATAAGGGGCTATTTTTGATTTATTATTATTCTTTTTAATATTTCTCTGCTTTACAGTTTCGGTTTTCGGACAAACGCCTCTTGTGGATGGCCCTGAATGGACAGATATTGGACAAGACGCTGTGCTGACCTGTAATTCTACTGCAAATATCCGAATAGTGGAATGGGCAAGAAGTGACTTCGGAAATTCGTTAGGAGAGAGCGATCTAGTTGTAAACTTGAGAACTTCAACAGGGACTGTTATTAATATCAATAACACTCGTTACGGATTTGACAAGGATGCTACTGAGTACCCATTAACGATCAAGTCAGTCAATTTTGACGATGGAGGAACCTACTGGTGCATTTTGGCTGTTGATGATTTCCAGTATATTTATGCAATGAAGGAATTGAGAGTAAGAGGTAAGAGTAAAGCAATGCCCTGTAACTTAAAGACGTTTCGTCCACAAACCCCTTCCAGCCAGAAAAAAACGTACCAGATATCAATATTAACAATAGATTTTGTACAAGTTGATAGTCAAGAATCACTGTCTGTTTTAATATTTCAGTAATGCATCTGAACTAAAATGCGTTTTTCACTTGTGCAGTTTTTTTTTTCTTATTTCTCCTCTTTATTGGCGGAGGAAGTGTATTTTCAAATGTAAAGAGAACTTAAGAAAGGATTACTGCATTTTCTGCAAACATGGCACTTTACGATTGCACAAACTACAAACGGGGGTCAGAAAAGGGGAAGTTGTTGGACTCATTTGTATATTAGGTCTCGTCAGCCTTGTGGAGTCCGACTTGTTGCATGCAATTCCAACAAAAACATAAGCGTGTTTTTTTTGTCATTAAACTTCCAGCTGATCCATTTGATACACCTTATGGCAGCCTTAGATAAAAGCGCTAAAGAAAAAAGTGCATATTAAAACTATTGTTTCCATTTCTGAACTTAGTTTGGAAATTTTTGCGTCTGAAATAATTTCAATCTGTCTGATTGCGCAATTGTGGTGCTAATTTCACCTCCCCTTAATTGAAATCATTCAAACAAGGAATGTGAAATTGGAAAAATCTCAATACTGTGATAAAATTACCGCCCTTCAGTATTTTGCCGAGTTTATTTGTGTTGAAAGGACAGCGTAAAAATTCATAAAACTGGCAAAAAATCCAAAATGAAGGTAGCATTTGCAACGCGTAGGTAGTGGCTTTTTAAAAATATGCTACCTTCTCGTAACTTAAAAGAAGAATATCTCTCTGCAATGTAAGGAAACAGTTTGAAACAGGTATCTCTTGTGATCGTTGATAGTTATTTTGGTTAGGCACTGTTATTCTCTGCAGTACTTCCGAAAAGTGTAAAGATGTCTGATTTGACTGGGAGTTACCCAACCACTGGAGGCACGGCATATCTGGTAGAAGGACTGAATCATCAATTTATCTGTGAAGCACCTGACATTAATCCAGGGGCATCATTCAAGTGGTCACTCGCTGGTAGAGAGATCGTAGAGGATAGCTCCAGTGATTTCACCAGTGCTGATAATTTCATTACGAGTAATAGTACATTAACCTTGTCACCAGTGTGGAACAACCATGGGGAAATGTTACAGTGCCAGGCTTCAAACAAAGAAGGGCATGTCGGATTATTCACCATGGTAACGCTGGACGTTAAAGGTGAGAAAAATGAAACTTGTGAGCCCCCCCCCCCCACGGTCGGTTGAGGATTTTACCAACTTATCATTAGGTTTTAATGGTGTATTCACACTATTAAATAAAACTTTGTGGGTGAAGTGAAGGGCAAACACAAACCATTTGTCTAAATATTGTAAATAAGAACAATTTCCAATTTACCTTTAAAAAGCATCTGTATTCAAACTTTAACACTGTTTATCATGCTTGCTGTCAACTTTAGTAATCCCCAAGGCTTCGTCGTTGTCGCTGTCTGACTCGGATGGTGCAGTTCATGATGAAGTTGTTGTTGATGAGGATACACCTCACCTCTTCACATGCCAGGTCCTTGGTACCAGACCTGGTGCAAGAATTGAGTGGTACTTGAATGGCGTCCAAAGACGCGTTCTGAACCAAGGTCCTGCAGGAGCCGTTGGATTGGTTACTACATCAGATACGCTGTCTCTCATTCCAACCAGAGCAGATCACGGACAGATGGTGACATGTGAGGCAAGTATTGCAGAGTCACCACGGCCCTACCCTTCACTGAACGTAACGCTAATTGTCAACGGTAAGAAGTTATGTAATCCTACATTTATGCAATTTAATTCTGGACGAAATATGGAGAGAGGGGTTTTTCTTTACAGATGCAGTCTTTGCTGAAATTATCTCATCAAAATACAAATACTGTTTTGGTGTCGTCCATATTGTCTGATAATATGACACTTCAGATGTTGTTTTGATATTTCAAGAATGAAGTTTCTTCTTATGGATTGGGCAAAGATGTGAACATCATTCGCTTGGTTCGGGTAGGGCGCAAACGTGATATGTTGCAAGAAATCTGATTATAGCTATAGCGCACAATGCACGCCAGACACGCAGAAACCTGAACACAAAATTAGAGGGGTAGATCTAATAATTACTCTGCGGGGGGCGGGGGCAGACCGTAGATTTTTTTAATGTCTCATATTTGCAGACAAGCGGAAACGATGATGAAACATCACAGGACACAGTGTATGAGATTGCATTTGTGCACTTACTTTAGCTATGTTTTATTACTTTCCCCTGTATTTTCCTTTTTAGCTGGGATTGAGGGAGGGGGTTTTCGACCCCCAAACCTCCCGTATGTGAATTACCAGCAGGACTTTTTCCCCTTCCAATTCACCTTCTGTTCAGGTGTCTGGTAATGCTCATCAAGTAGGGAGCTTCTACTACTTAATGTAACTTCCTCCAATCATCCAGGTCCCCCAGATGTCCCTGGTATATCAGGTAGCACGTCATTAACTGAGAATGAGCCTACAATTCTGACATGCTCATCAGATATGGGATACCCCGATGACTGGGATCTGGTTTGGTCCAATGGAGGCTTGCCTATAACTGGTCCAACTACACGCCCAACAGCCTCAGATGGTCGCTACAACTTCACTAGCACTTTTAACTACACACCAAGGAGACAGGATAACGGCAACATCATCAAATGTACAGCAAACAGAGCCTCGTTGACACCAGGCCCAAAAGGAATTTATGGACCAGTAGATGTGCAATGTAAGTGTTATGAGGAATTAGATGACTAAGAATTTTCAAAAAGAAACTTAAGAAATAAGATTTTGAAATCGTACTTTTGATCTTCAGGAAAATCTTTGTTGTGTGTAACAGTTACAGATGTCTGTACATTTTATTAGAAGTGTCCAACATCTGGGCTGAAAAGAGGTTCTGGAGTCGATTGTCAGCAGACATGGGTACATTTAGGAATCTCATTTTACTACTACAGTTTGTGCTAGAATTGTGAGTGTAACCCAAAGCCCGCCAGTTCTTACAGCAGGCGGCAAAGCGACTCTTAGCTGCACGCCAGAGAGTAGCAACCCAGCTACCACCCTAACCTGGTCTAAGGAGGATGTGGAGTTAACCACGCCCACTAGTCAACCAAACTCAGGTGGTGCCTATGGAGGTAGAGTGACCAGAGTAAGCTATACAACTGGTGTTCTAAACAAAACCAACAACGGAGAGGTGTATAAATGCTGTGCTACAAACCCGGCCATCTCAACGTGTGCTACCAATCTCTGTGACCGGCACATATTGAGCGTACAATGTAGGTTTCATGCACCTGGTGATAATACAAGCTAGTTGATATTTAAAAACCATGCCAACCATACTGTAAAAAAGGGACCAAAACAGATTTATTAACAAAAAGTGGAAAGTGTAAATCAAAAAAGACTGAAAATAGTAGAGTTAACAGAAAGACCATCATTTCAAAGCAGTTTCCATGGAAGTGTGAAAGGATGTTTCAAATCCACGACAGAAGAAGAAACCAATGAACTGTCACCGATCATCTTGTTGCGCATTTTATGCAGATGTATGCAGACTGAAATTCAGACTTTCAATCCGCAGATTCCCCTGAATTCACCTCATTGAAGCAAATCCCAGACGCATTTGCTACTGAAGGCAGTGATGTAACCCTGACATGTGTGGTAGATGCCAAACCTAGGCCTGTCGGCATCAACTGGAAGAAGCAAGGCTCCAATAAAACTTTTAACTCAGCGTTTATTGATGACACCAGTACGTTGACTCTAATTAACATCAGAAGAGAGCAGGCAGGGAACTACACTTGTAGAGCAAACAACGGTGTGCCTACTGATGACCCCAGCAGTGACGCAGTTTCATCTCCACTCACAATTATAGTGCATTGTAAGTTGTCTACACAGTATTCTTGTGATGTGGTTGTACCAGGCTTAAAATGAGAGAGTCTCAAACAACTTGAGAATCTTAATAAAGTTATAATAATTCTCAAACTGAAAGTTTCCAAAGAAAACTCAACTAAAGGCAGTGTTCAGGTAAAGTTTAGAACGTTTGTAATACTGTAATGACTGTGATTATGTTAATTTAACATAACAGAGGTGGGGATAAATTTCAGTTTGCTATTGTAGGTGTATCAGAGGATTATACCAATTTGCTGTAATACAGCACACTGTTCAATGTGATGATGGCCTTTATGACTGTCTACTTTCTTGCCTATGACAAAGATGCATGGAGACTTGACCAGCGGTCGAGCAGCAGGGTTCTTAGTCAGTGCCGGAGCCGCACCATACACTCGCCAGAACATTCATGTGCGTGTCTTGTATTGGCTCACCTTTGTGGCGCCGGAAGGGAGTTATTCTTTAGGATGCCTTACGTAATTTCTTTGACCCCCTGTAGGATTGAATTTATTCGGACGATAACAAGTGTTTAAATTGGTTAAAAGCGCTGCACATGCGTGCTGAACATCTGATGAGCAGCTCATCAGTACTTTTTGTGTGACTGTGTTTTCAGCTTCGACAGACTTTACAAAAATGTGACTAGCCTAGAGCTTTAAGTTCGGCGGCAAATGAGCAAGAAGTTGTTACAGTGCAGCAAAGCGCCCCCGTTGATCCACACATGGAGCACGTAGTTTAATATCTTTGGACTTACATTTTATTGCAGATGAGGCCAGCATCACTAACAAGTTCAACAATATCGTTGGCGCCAAGCATGGAGGAGTGACAGTTATAACGTGCATCACGAGGGCTAATCCTAAACCTATAATCTCTTGGTATAACCCAAACGATACCATAATTTCCCCTGACTATGGCAGTGGCAAGTTCTTGATTGAAACTGATACCACAAGTGGAGACCGCATCTACGGATTTACTGTCACCAGCACTCTTACCATCCGTGGAGTCGATTCTTGGTGGACTACGGAGTGTATACCGTCAATAGTTCGAACGGCATTGAAGATGGAGACACCCTACAGATCAATCTTACAGCACCAAGTAGGATAACACTAAGTCGCTGAATAGAGCGCAGTAGTTGATCCCTACCTCGAAGTGCATATCCAAAATTAGGCTAGGGAAAATCTGTGTATTCTAGATGGTTTTTGATAACGCACATGTACGGAATACATATTCTCCAACAAAATCCAAAAAAATATGATCTCGAAACTCTCAAAATAATAACCACGTGAATAATTTGGAACTGTTTGCAAATGCTTAAATGGACGGTTTCAGTGTGCATTCTGACAAGAATGATGACATAGACCACAGTCTAATAAATGGTCTTTTCAAAGGGCCCATGAATGGCTAAAAGTCTGTAAAGGAAAAGTCTACATAAAATCTGCTTTCGAAGAAGAACGTAATCAATAAAGTGCCCATCTAAAGAGATTTGCACCTGGTTGCTTTCAAGCAGGCAGTGCCAGTACGATTCTCCGCGTAAAACCGTTAATTTTTGTTTAACCTCTTCTTATTGAAAGGAATACCAAGCAAGCCAATTGACGTACAAGTCACACAACGGACTGCAGATTCCTTGACTCTCAGGTGGACCGCTGGTAATGATGGCGGTGAAGAACAGTCATTTCGCATCAGCTATCTGAAGATTTCTGAGTCTGGAGGTCAAGAGGTGTTTACCGATGCAATTAGAGCAATTGATGGACAGAAGGTGTACATCTACACAGTCATCTCTCTGCAGCCAAGCACTGAGTATTTGATCAGGGTGTATGCTGAGAATGGAGTTGGAAGAAATATGGAATCCATCAATACGACTGCATATACTCTAAGTAAGTTGATAACGTATACACATTCGTTGTAGCTCGTTTGGTGGCGCCTATTTGTTTACAGCTGGCATCGGACTAGTTATTAGTTTTCAAAAGCAAGAACCGTTCTTGAGTGAAGCGCTGACGTTTGCATTCATGTAATATTTGGCATTAAAGGAAATTGTAAATCCTGGCCAGAAAATGACATTTTCAATTCTAAAAAGTTCGTTGTTGTGGCATTTAACTTTCGGAATGGCTCGGCAACTCTTTTCAAATCACAGCACATCGGGCTCAAATTTACCCAAAACGTAGAATGGACCAATGAAGTTTCGTTTTGGGGCGTATACTGATGTATTTTCTAACATGTAAATTTTCGTAAAACTGACATTGTACTGCATTAGTAACAATTTACAAATAAACAGCAAACAAACTTTCTTCTTTTTTACACATCGAATGTCAGTGAAAAATACCGAAAAGCCACCGGAGTCTGATGAGTCAAGCAAACATGTTGATCTTATCACTGGCGTTGTTGCTGGAGTTGTAGTGCTGATTGTTATTATCGTGTTTGCTGTTCGACTGAGCAGAAGAGCACGAAGTTATCCCGCAGGTAGGGTAATACACTAACAAATTCTGAAACACGAGGTCTTGATATGTAAATATAAAATACTTCAGTTATTCTCCAGCATCCATTTTTTCTTACAAGTGCAACCACTTTGTGAACTATTTAAATCAAACTCATCGGTTCATGATAATGCAAATAGTTCTTATAATTATCTGTATGTTGACATAATAGACCAAACGTTGGTTCTTAAGTCAATTTTTGAATCAGATTTTAGTGAGAAAACGTGAACTCGGTAAATTGTACCACTGAGTCTACATGGTTAATTTTAAGTCCAGTAAGACTCATTGTTTTCCTATAATGCAATTTTCGAAACAACCATTTGATTCAGTTTCAGAACAAACCAAGAAGGCATCCCGTAAAATGTGAGTGATTCATTATAAAGTTATTTTGTTCAAGAAAGATCTCATAACAGCTGTTTCTCTCTTTCATTCGCTTAGGCAAGTTTGCTAACGAAAAGTATTAACTACATAAAGTACTCTTCGTTTCAACAATAAATGAAATGTCAAATATTTTGAATAACCATGATTCTGTGAGTTTCTTTAAAATGCGTTACTGTTTTAACAGGAGAAGGCGCCTAAAAAGCAACACGCAAGAGGACAAACGTGCTAACTACAAAAACATTCTTGGTTTGTTCATTTGTTTGATTTTACCACATTACTATTATGATCAAGAGATCTGTGCAAGGTTATAAGTAACATTCCCTGTTTATTTTCAAAACATAAGGCGTGCACGGAGAAAGAAATGTCTGCAGTCCCTTTATGTTCATCATTTCGTTTGTTTCATTATAACTTTTCAAAAATTATAAACTTTTTAAAAAAAAGATGAAGATATATAAAAAAATATCATGTATTTGAGGCATTTGAAAAAAATGGTAAAAACATGATTACCCCGAAACAAATTAGACGAGAGTCACAGCATACATTTGCTTTCTTCGTTGTATCTCTTGTCCAAATGTGCCAAAATAATACATTAAGATATATGCCAAAATAATACATTAAGGCATAATCTAAGCATCGACTCACCAAACCTAAATTTTTTTTTCTTTTGTTAAATGAAGTATCAAATGCGTCAAATTTTAATATGACAACCCCATCCTTAAAGTAAAACTTTGGTTTGACTGGATGCAAAAAATAATGGGAAATCAAATGACCAAAAGTAACAAATAAAATCAGAATAGTCTACGGGAACGCCTTGCTCATTGGCTCATACGGTGTCACCTAATAGATGGCATATGGTTTAAGGTCCCCAAATGAGTCATTCGTGTGAGCGTTTGCCAAGGAGTATTTTGTCATTCGTATCAGGTGCATAAACTGCTAACTTTTCTTTAAACTCCACATGTTGCGCAGAAATGGATGCAGTAAGTACAGCTGGCCAGGAGCAGGCTGCCCCTTCGTATGCTAATGTATGCAACTCCCTGATAGCCTTTCCACGTGATCAGTTGACCATTGTGAAAGAAATTGGGCATGGATCCTTCGGTCTGGTATTCTTAGCGGAAGCTAATGGAATCATCGAAAGATCAAAGGTCACAAAGGTCGCTGTCAAGACACTTAAAGGTGATTTAGCTGATACATATATATATATATTGCTTTATTTTTAAATAATTGTCACAGGGGGTTTGAGGAAAGAGATTGACTTCTGTTGATAGACCCAATTATAAATCGTTGAGCTGAATTGGTATGAATTGAGCGAAGTCGAATCTTGGTGTTTGCTGTTCACCACACAGTTGATTTGAATAATCTCCACGAGAACGGTTCATCCGCGGATCTTTAAGAATTACTGTCGTCTTCATCTGGATATGTTTGGTATATTCAGTCATTATACAGAGCACATCGCGTTCGGGGAATTTCTACTTAACGGCTGTTATTCCAATCCTCAATGTTTCAGTTCCAGGAAAAAATTGTTATGTGAGACAAATATATGACTTGGAAGGTGATATAATGACAATGCACCCTTTGTCTTATTTTGTTTTGTTCATCAAATGTATGCATACTGATCTTGATGAATATACGTTCTTTGGAAATGTTCTTCTTTGTAGACGAAGCCAATAACCTGCAACGGAGGGACATGCTGAGGGAGCTGGAATTGATGAAAAAGTTACCAGACCACCCGAATGTAGTCAAACTACTCGGCTTCTGCGTAGATCAAGGTAACCAGTCCATATATATTCAAAACAAGCGTATTTTGTCAAACCTTTTGGAATCTTAGCCAGAACTTACTTTTGACTTCGGTGTATTAAACGTAATTATCAGTTTTCTTTCATAGAACGTTATAAACATCTAACTTATGCAATCTTTGATCCAGAGCAAGTATCATATTTAGAAATATTTCGAAATAGAAAATTACTTAAAATGATAAGTTATCAAATATTCCAATGACAATGATCATTAATCATTAAATTATCTCGTAAATTACTTTTTGGTCGTGTTCCAAGAGACAAAGAACTGGCAGCTCCAAAATATGACAATATTTACCCAAAGTACTCGTTGCCATGACGCCTCTGCTTAAATCTTACACCCCAAAAAAACCTAATCTATCGAAAAAGATAACAGAAAAAATATTTTTTTAACATCACTTGTGCAAACTTTTACAAGCCTATACGTCAAAGTGTTAACAGGCAAAAGACAGAACGATCATTCATTTGAATGAATAATATGAAAATGACATGAAAATAATAGCAATTGTCATTATATCTGTTCAGGGGGCGCCGGCCACAAACGTAGGGCTGGGTAGCTCAGTTGGTAGAGCACTGGTACGGTATTCCAGAGGCCGCGGGTTCAGGTCCCGCTCCAGTAAATTTCTTTATTCACCTTTACAATCATTCATAAGCAACAAGTCAGTTTCCCTATATGATTTTGTTTCATGAAAATAATTTAGTGGAAATCATGGAATAACGTTTTTCTTAATTTCTCTTTCAAAAGGTGGTTGTCAGAATTATTTAAATGCTGGCCTAAAGTACTCTCTTTTTCTCGTTTGACATAAGATCCTCTGTACATCATCGTGGAATACTTAACAAGAGGAAATCTGAAAAACCTCCTCAAACAGAGCCGTAGTAAAGGTGGACGTGTCTACCGCAACTTACATGGCATCAGCAAGTCACTAGCCTCTACGGATCTTATTATGTTCGCAAAGGACACAGCAGATGGCATGGAATTTATTTCTTCTCAAAAGGTGACCTACCCTTTGAGTAGCTTTCCAAACGAATCTAACATTGCTCCTTCCGTCTACGTATATTTTAGCCTTTAAGACTGATTGTACTATAAACTGAAAGCATCGAACGTTCAGGTCCATTCCACCTTTCGAGAAATTTACCTGCTAAGAAAAATCGTCAGTCCACATCCAGTGGAACCGAGACAATATTTAAAGCTGTGAAGAATCTAAAGATAAAGATTAATTAAAGGCATAATTTTCGAAACGAACGTCCAGCTACAGTGTATGTTCAAGAGCATTCTACTTATTGAATTGCACTCTTTTTAAACAGGATGAGATGTTAACATCTTGCCTTTCATGCAGAAATTTCACACACTTTAAATGCACTTTTGATAATTGCTCTCTATCTCACAGTTTCTGTTTCTTGCTCTTAACGATAGTGGCTTCCATTTCAATTGTACTGTAGTGCATTCACAGGGACCTGGCTGCACGTAACGTGCTTGTGGCTGATGATATGACGTGTAAAGTGTCTGATTTTGGACTTGCTCGGGACGTCATGAACATTCGAGTGTACGAACGAGAGTCAGAGGTGAGTTTCACGCAGTATGTCCTTTGCAGAAAGGAGGTTATGATTGAGCAAATAAAAACAAAACAAATGATAGCTTCATGGTCTACGACATTATCCGTAATTTGACGTAAGAATCGTGAAAGTTAAGTATCAAGGGCACCAATTATCGAGGGTCACCAACTATCAATCGTTATTTACAACAAAATGCATTTTTGTCTTTACAGAGTGCACTGCCCATGCGCTGGATGGCTATTGAGTCAATTTTGGATGACGTGTACACAACAGAGAGTGACGTTTGGTCTTTTGGCGTACTTCTGTGGGAGATAGCAACTCTCGGTATTTTTGTCTGTCACAGAGACATAATAGAAGCAAAACACATATCAGTATTTTTCATGTCCAGCCTTTGATTGCGTGATTTACCTTTAATTCAGTTTCTGTTTTCTGTTAAAAATCCGATATACGATTATGTTTGTTTTGCAATTTGTAGTTGAGTAATCATTCTCAGCCAGAGTTCCCAGTACCAAATTGTAGTCAACTTATTTTCCTGTTTGACTCAAAGTCATTTGCCTAGTGCTTTCACTACCCTTTCTTGACGGTTCAGCTTTTCATACTAAAATTTGTGAGCAGAAATTGCCTTTAATTACCGACAATAAGATAAAGTTTGGGTTCTTTCGCTAGAATGCTTCTTGTTAGATTTCCTACGTTCAATTATTCCATTTCAACAGGTGCTCGTCCATACCCAGCCATGTCAGCCAAGGTGTTGATTTCAGAGCTGCAGAATGGATTCCGTATGCCTAAACCACAGCATTGCCAAGATGAACTGTGAGATAGCCTATTTAAAATTAGATAGAAGATTCCTCAAATGAGGTCTATTATTAATGATACAGATAATACAGGTTACTGGCAATTTAGCAAACAACAGTTACATCTGGTTTAAGAAATTTGGCATTGATATGACTGTGCGTTCAGCGTGACAGGCCGAGATATTTCTGACCAAAAGATTGTAGGCTTGCTTTGCGTCAATGCATCAAGCTTCGTACTTTTCAAATCCAGGCGTAACAAAACTTTTTCTGATGATGTGATTTTCGAATTTTTAAATAAAGGATGAAGGCCTAACATTCTACCTTCTAGAAATCTGTTTCCCAAATATCTAAATGTTCTTTTACAAATTAATGAACATTGGATGGTTTCTTCAGGTACGAAATGATGTTAAGATGTTGGAACGAGGATCCAGCAAGCCGACCTTCCTTCAAGATGATAAGTGATGATCTAGACAGACTGATATGTGAGGGAAAGGTAGGGTTCTTGTATGTATTAGCAAACTTGGAAAACAGACACTCAATATAAGCTGATAAAATATTTAAAATGTCAGATTTCCTTCTTTTATCGTTTCCTGTTATCCATAGGATCATTTAAATTGCAGTTAACTATCTTCATTTTGTTGGCAGGATTACCTATCAATTGAAGATATCGAGGACGCCGTGTATGAAGTGTCTCTGCCGGGTGGCACGTTAGAAAGATTATAGACATTTGTATAGAAACAGTTTTCAGAGTTTTTTCAATTATGCAAACATTGCTGATTTACAGTATTTTTTGTAAATCAGGAAAACTATGTCAGGTTAGACGCTTGCCTTTTTTTTCGTTGACTCACTCTTTCAATCAGGCTTGGTCTCCACCTGCCGTTGGTTACAAATGTACATGGCGATAGTGTATCATCGCTATTGACACATGTGTCACAGAGAACGTATAGTTTACATAAGAAGGTTGAGGTCCATTACGCATTCTATTTTGCTTGTCACTTCTGCCAAACTGCACGAGACATTCTTCTCAAATTTCGCAGAAGAGGAACACAAAAATCGGAGAAAACTAAGCCCAAGCACAAAGAAAGCGCGCCTGTGAAGAGGCGCTTCTAATATTGTCTTGCTTGATTACAGTATAACGTTAAATACGCAACAGGCAGATTTGGTCAGTGAGTGATTTGCCGTACGAGACGCACTGTGTATTATTACTTCACTTTTCACAAGGGAAACAAGAATACAATAGGAAGAAAGTTGATGATCAAACGAAGAAATTTCTAGTGCAATTTGTGTTTTTTTCACATGATGCTGAAATGAGAGAATCAGTAAGTGCAGTACATGGGGAACACTTGTACAGTGCTATTTGAAACCAGCTCAGCGGCTTGTTGAAACGGCAAAATCAGAAACAAATGCGGACTCAGTTTGGTCAACACAATGTTGGGAGAAAAAATATAGAAAAAAGCCTTACTCACTGTCCCGACGTCCTTGCTTTTTTATTTGTTGTTTTCTTTGGGTTTTGGAGCTGTCAATAAATTTATCGATTTCCGTTTTCAGACCAAAAAGTCTGATCTCAACATTCTTTGTCTTGGTAATAAGTGATTTTGACAGTCTTTGCTTTTAAAGATTTTTTTAGTACGGTGTATATGCTAAAAGTAATTTTAAAATCGGTTCTTAAAATTAAATCAAAACCAACTCCGTGTATGCATTAATCGTGTTACAGTGTTTGTCTGTTGAAATGAACCGAGCTTTTAGTCTCCCCTAATAAAAGGTCCCTAAGTAACTGAGGTTTTTAAAACTAATTGGTTGGTCGGGCGTGAAATACTTCCCTTTCAATAGCACTTATCTTTTTACTCCACTTTGAAATTGCGTTAGTAATTGAAAAACATATTAAAAAAATATTTCACCTCAGGAATGATCTGTTAGGTTTAAAGCGTGTTAACCACCTTAATATCTTTAATTATCCCTAATTGTATTTGATGTATAATTCTTGCAAGTGCTTACCAAGTCAGAAAATAAATCTGGNAAAAAAATCGTTTTGGTTTTAATCTATCAACGGCATGTTGTACAATATTTGCACACAATTCCCCCGTCCCATGTACTACCCGACACCCGATAATACTTCCAACAGCCTTTAATAAAAATTGAACCGTGCACTCTTGTAAGAATTACAGCCCAGATGGACTGATGTCGACTATGTTTAAGAAGGTACAGTCACTTGTGCGTTTTTAAAACAATTGACAGGTCAAAACTGATCTGATAGACTAATAATGTAACATTTTAACAGTAATCACCATGCAAAACCCTCACAACAGTTTAGTACACCTTTTGGATGTTTACGCGGAATGATTTTCTCTCTTTTTTTTACCAAAAGTATTTTTTTTCATGTGCAGAGAGTTTCGTTTGATGTGAAACCTCTTTCGTTGAAATATTATTTATTGTCTTTTTCTGAAATAATTTTATTTTAAAATAAAGTATAAGTATGACAAATGAAATCCAAACGCCCAATTTAAATTGCATGTATTTTGGATATAAAAAAATCCTACTGTAAGTAAAGCATGTAACTCCAAGCTTGTCAACGTGGTGTTCTTATAAAAAGACGGTGAACTTTCTTTTCCAAATTAATCGCTCGCCAAACTTAGTTGTCGGTAGTGTGAAAAGTCTCCAACTCCGAACATTCATATCGAAAACATTTTAATAACTTGAACATATGTTTGCAGCAAACTTATACGTATACATAAATTTAAACTTGTTAGGAAAGGGGGACAGTTTTTGCGCCCAGCACCTTGCATGTAAATAGAAAATTGCACCCAGCCGAAGAGCAGCACAATTACTCAGCTTGGGTCAGGAATAAAGCTATTGTGTATATTTACATGCTGATGCACAGCTAACCAATGCTTGATAATGTAATATGTTATTTTACGGCTGAAAACAGTAGTAAAACTTTTTGTTCTCTTGTCCAATGGACAACGGGGGGCTGTTGTTTAAGTCTAAGAACACTCAACGGTTCACTGGTCGGATTCTTTGATTCAACGGGTTAACTTCTTCCCCATTAGAATCAAATAATCATCATTCCAATTAATGCGTTATATTTATTATGAAATGTGTTGTTACATAATTTACAGTTAAATTATGGCGCTTTTGGAGAACGAGTACTGGCACACCTGAACAGATAAGTCGATATGCAAACTGCTATCAGAGAATTTGTCTATCCTGTACGGTTCATTTGAGTCAACAGAATTATTAACGGTGCTGACAGAGTGCATTGTTTTACATTTTTGTTGATTTTGCGTGTTCACCAGTGAGCCTGCTAGTATTAAGCTCAGCTAGTGGCCTTACTGTATCCCTTATGTATTGCTTAGATAAACAACGGTACTATTGGAGGTAGTCTCGGTTCTGAAGTGTTTGACTTCAAATGTCGTTCACTCGGGCCAAAGGTCGAATACTGCAGTGGGAAATTCATGCCTGTACATTTTAGCTCTACCCAGTCTACACTTTATGACCCCTATTCCTCCTTTTCAAAACATGCACACAGTTTAACAGGTTAACCAACACAGTTGTTAAATACTGCTACATAATGTGTTACTTCACGAGTTCCGCAAAGAGATAACGAAAGCAACAAAATAAGGTCACTGTAACGCTAGTCCTTCTTCTCTTTATTACAACAACGTATAAAGCCTGGAAGCATATTGAGTCCACAACAGGGAAAATCTTCGAGAAAGGGTGAATTAAAAAATCCACTTGGCTAACCCCCATAAAATTGAAATGATCTTCTGGCCATAGTCTTGAATTTCCGAAATACCGAACCCGTGTAATACCCGGATCATTAAAAATGCAGCATTCAAATCTGTATTTTACTATCGATATGGTAAACAGACGGTTTGGTTATAACAACCGCCGCTTTTAATACTGTGGTCTAAATTTAATATGTAGTGTAAGACAGGTGATGTGATTTATTCACGATTTAACTGTATACAAACCAATTACTCGATATCACCAAAGAGGATTTCTGACGACGCACATAGAATCTACATAAAGACTTATTCTTTTAAGAAACTGAGCCACCACTCTTTGGATAATTATTTTTGCCTTCAGTTTGTTCGCGTTATTGCAAGAAACACATGAATAACTGTGGCTACAAGTATTGAATGACTTATCCACCATTATTTAGCACAGTTTTGCAATGTACGTTATATCTATGTTCTCTTTAAAACTGCTCGTCGACCGTTTACAAGATAATGTGTCAATTTGAACGTAGGGGATACATAGTGTTGTGTGGTGTTATAAAAGTCTAGCATTGTATCGAGATATGTCAAGTTGCCGTCTCTGAGGTTTGTAGAGAGTCTTCAAGGTTTGAAATTCAGCACTAATGCGGTAACGATCTCTATTAAAACACTTCAAATAAACTTTAACATAATCTGCCTACCTTGTTAAACTCAAAGTGCATTTTGAAACAAATTTGTTACCAGCATAGTGTAAACGGTTTCTTAGGCCGCCGATTCTAAACGTAATCAGATGTAAAAAAAAAAAAAAAAAAAAACACTTAAAGCGTTAACTTAACGTACATGTGAAATATCGTATACATCCAATAGTTTTGCAGTTAATCCCGTCGATGAGTTGGACAAAGCTGATTGTTTTGCATAAAACACAAAATAGCACGGCTTACTAAAACACGCATTGATCTACTTCGGTGACTTTCTGGCTAAATGAAACACCACTTAAACGATACTTAAGTCTTGACATTAACTTTAATTGAAAGAGTTATACCTTGACTATATACATACAGGAAGCTTGCATAGAGTAACTTTTCTCAAGCGTGTTGAGGTGGGTGTAACTCACGAGATGTCCATTAATCATAATTATACTCTAACCCTGTAGGCAAAGGACCATGGTCGAGTATTCACTGAGTGTTTATAGTGTGGCAGCGACACTCGCCGTCGCCCGNAAAAAATCATTTTGGTTTTAATCTATCAACGGCCTGTTGTACATTTGCACCCAATTCCCCCGTCCCATGTACTACCCTACACCCGATTATACTTCCAACAGCCTTTAATAAAAATTGAACCGTGCACTCTTGTAAGAATTACGGCCCAGATGGAATACTGTCGACTATGTTTAAGAATGGACTGTCAATTGTGCGTTTTTAAAACAATTGACAGGTCAAAACTGATCTGATAGACACATAATGTAACATTTTAACATTAATCACCATGAGAAACCCTCATAACAGTTTAGTACACCTTTTAGATGTTTACGCTGGATGATGTTCTCTCTCTTTTTTTACCAAAAATATTTTTTCATGTTCAGAGAGTTTCGTTTGATGTGAAACCTCCTTCGTTGAAATATTATTTATTGCCTTTTTTTGAAATGATTTTAATTTAAAATAAGTATAAGGATGGCAAATGAAATCCAAACGTCCAATTTAATTTTTTAATTGCATGTATTTTGGATATAAAAATTCCTATTGTAAGTAAAGCATGTAATTCCAAGCTTGTGAACGTGGTGTTCCTTTAAAAAGACGGTAAACTTTCTTTTCCAAATTAATCGTTCGCCAAACTTACTTGTCGGTGATGTAAAAAGTCTCCAACTCATAACATTCGTATCGAAAACATTTGTTTATGTTTGCAGCTAACTTATACGTATACATAAATTTAACCTTGTTAAGAAAGGGGGACAGTTTTTGCGCCCTGCGATCCACTGATGGTACCGTCTGCATTACTCCGCGGAGACTTCCTGTGTATGCACCTTGCATGTAAATAGAAAATTGCACCCAGCCGAATAGCAGCAAAATAACTCAGCTTGGGTCAGGAATAAAACTATTATGTACATTTACATGCTGATGCACAGCTAGCCAATGCTTGATAATGTAATATATTATCTTACGGCTGAAAACAGTAGTAAAGCTTTTTGTTCTCTTGTCCAATGGACAACGGGGGGCCGCTGTTTAAGTCTAAGAACACTCAACGGTTCACTGGTCGGATTCTTTGATTCAACGGGTTAACTTCTTCCCAATTAGAATAAAATAATCACCATTCCCATTAATGCGTTATATTTATTATGAAATGTGTTGTTACATAATTTACAGTTAAATGATGGCGCAGTTGGAGAACGACTGGCACACCTGAACAGATAAGTCGATATGCAAACTGCTATCAGAGAATTTGTCTATCCTGTACGGTTCATTGGAGTCAACAGAATTAATTACGGTGCTGACAGAGTGCATTGTCTTACATGAGTATTTGTTGATTTTGCATGTGCACCAGTGAGCCTGCTAGTATTAAGCTCAGCTGGTGGCCTGACTGTATCCCTTATGTATTGCCTAAATAAACATCTACTATTGGAGGTATTCTCGGTTCTGAAGTGTCTGACTTCAAATGTCGTTCACTCGGGCCAAAGGTCGAATACTGCAGTGGGAAATTCATGCCTGTACATTTTAGCTCTACCCAGTCTACAATTTATGACCCCTATTCCTCCTTTTCAAAATATGTACACAGTTTACTGACTCCGAATAAAAAAAGGAATTTCCGGGTTCAAAAGCGGTTTGCATCCAAATGCACTGCGCATTACTTTGCAACTACCATTAGTTGTATGTCATTGATGCATTGGGCTAAATACAGCATGTTTGAAAATGGCATCTCTGATGAAAATAGTCGTCATTGTTATCGGATTGCCCTATTTTTACAGAGGTAGGCTACGGTTCCGTTTGCTATATTACTTATATTTAATTGAACTGACTGAAATTAAAGACATTTTCCCCGTGGAATTGTAATATGTAAATATTGTGGTCAAGTAGGTTTTTAGTGTCGATGGGATTGAGTTCATTAAATTATTGTAACCGGAGCATTTAAACGTGTTCGTCTTGCGATGATACAGTTTGGTTTGTCGGCAAATGCTCTTTTCACCATGATACAAATGGTTGTGAGTGACCACTTACCAATCTTGAAACGCAGTTCCTCTGTGTGATTATGTAACTGGAAACCTGTCCATTCTATGAACATTGTTCTTCATGTAGCTCTAGAATAGGTATTGTAGTCAGTTTTTCCGGGGTTGTTAGACCAGATGGTTTTTAGACCTTGGACCGACTTCTTTCACAAATTTGAGTTATTTCTTATTGGGCTGTCTTTTTCCACGCTGCAACGACCGCACCGTACACTTTGTGTGCACCACACTGCGCATACGCCAGGCTGATGGGTCATCCGACCGTATCGTCCGACCACTGGAATGATATCGCCTTGACCCATCAGTTTGGAGGTTCTGCATTGCCCTGTGAAGCTGTTGATAGATATTCCGGCACGAACCTCTTACATGTACTTGTGTAAGCAGGTGCGGTTCAATAGATCCATTAAAAAAAGAAGGAAATATTAACATTTTTGGAGGGGAATAAACTAATTAATATTTGAAGAACTACAGCACCCCCACGGTATAACCGTGCCTGCTTTTGAGTATTCAGATTAACAAGTTTTTAAACATAGACTTTAACCTCAAACTAAACAGACAAAATTAATGTTTAGGGTTTCGAAAGGGATGCATCCGAAAACTGTCAAGCAGATATCGTTAATCGCCGATTTTTTAATTTTTGTTTGGAGGATGAAAGATTGGCCTAAAACATTGTACTCATATTTTCTACCTAATGACAGCTATCATTTTAAAATTCGATTGAGCAAGTCGAATATGCATCACCACTTGTTTACAATAGAAAATTAATTCTAAAACAAATACCATTACGGTGCGGTGCCTTTTGGTTTCAAGAAGTAGCCTACAAGTATGGTAAGTGCCGAAGGTACACTGATTGTGTAAACAAGAGGAGATCGTGCGTGGAGTTGTGCAAGTGTAACTTTTAAGAGAATAATTTAGGCGCAAGATTGTAGAAATTTTACTTTGCATAACTTGAACAACAATGAAAAAGGAAGCAATTTTTGGAGAAACCACAAATACAGGAATAATGAACTCGGTGTTTCATGGGAAGCAATCTGTTTACAGTTGAGAATTCCAAGACGTGCACATATACAGTTCCCAACAGAACAGGGTGTTTTTTCAAGTTGGTAGAGTTTCAAGGTATTTTGTCACTAACTTGAAGTATATTCCATCTTTTAATGTTTGTATTTTCTTTCACAGTCCATGGCCAGATTCTGACGGTCAACCTGCAGTCTGATGAGAGTTATTCGTGGAACCCAAGCACGTTATCATGTTCCTACACTGTGTCTGGTGCCCGTTATAATTTTTGGAATCTGCAGTGGTATAAAGGGATTACCATATCTGATCCCTTGGCCATTAGCATAGCTGATTTCTTTGGAGGAATATCAAGTCCCCGTCTCTTCAATGGCTATGACGACACTTCAAAATACACTCTATCAAGAGACAGTGCTAGTTCTATTAGTACTCTGCACATCTTGTCTGTGAACTTCACCAAAGATAGTGGGAGATACTGGTGTAGGGTAACTGTTATTGATCCTGGGGTGTCACAAGAACAAGACAGTGATTCCACAGAACTGGTTATTTTCGGTAAGTGCCCTCACATTGTATACTATAGCACCTCACTCAAGTCTTGATTGGCCGATGCCCAATGATGTTAGCCACTTTTTATTTTCACGGCCAGAGGAACTACGTGTATTCCCATTGCAATCAATCAATGTACCTAATTTAAGTTGCAGCAACCACAGAAACTATACGCAGCACAACCAGCACATTGTGCAAATGCATAATATTGTGTACGTTGCGTGAATTGTGAAGTGATAGCACTACAAACCTGGGTGCACAGTTGTTTCAAACATTTACGAAAATGTGGTTTGGAAAGGGTATGGTATATTTGAGGCAAATATCTATTCAAATATATCCTCTCTGTACATAGTTAACTAAATTTAACTGGTTATCTATTAATTGTCTATCCCAATGATGCAGAATCCGTGGAAGAGGTGTTGAAAAGCAATTATTGACTGCTTTAGCATTAGCTTACGCGTGATGTCTTTTAAGAAGAGAATATCAATGTTACATTTGTTTGGGCATAAGCAGTAAGCATGTAACGGTTTTTAATTTTGAACATTTTAAACAATTTCATTTTTAGTGCATTTCACATGAAACGGATGCCTCATAATTTTCATCCACTGAAGAAGAGTAGCTGCATAACAAGTGGCCTGCAAAAATTTGATTGTAGCAATCCTTTATCATTCTTGCTTTCTATGGAATTTGTACACGTTTTGCTTCGTATCAAGCAGTTGCATTAAAATTTATCTGACTTATAAGTTACACTTTCATGAACATGTGTGCCAAATCCACCCATGAGCTTTGTAATTTCTTCTCTGGAGTTATTGTGCTGTATAGGTCAATGGACTGTGACTCTCCAACAAATGCACTAGGTGCGTGCATGTATAGAATGTACAAAATCTGAGCCAGGATTGCAGCTTTAGTCAACATGGTGGGGTAGATACAATGTTATATAACAGTATTTCTACCTTTACCTGTAGATAATCATTTTCCTCAGTTTTGCCTACCAGCATTACCCTTTCTGACTCTGATGGACCCTTCCCTCCGACTGGTGGTAAATCATATCTTGTGGACGGAGTGATTCACGAATACACTTGCAGAGTACCAGATATCGACCCAGGAGCATCATTTGCGTGGTCAGTGGGTGGTGGAGGACTTACCCTCGGTACTACCACCGATACCACTGGAAGTTATGGCTTGATTACCAGCACTGGTACAGCTATACTGTCGCCCACTTGGAGCAATCACGGACAGGTGCTGCAGTGCCAAGCATCTAACAAGAATGGCCATGCTGGTGTGAATGTTGAAGTAGTACTAGATGTCAAAGGTAAGACCTTTGTTAAAATGGGTTCTACGTGGAATGTTACGCTGGAGCCATTTTTTGTGGGCTCCTCGCGTGTCCGCAAATTTGAGCTTTTGAGTGTATGTGCATAGGCCTACTGGAGGGACATGGGAGCCTCTCAGTTATGTAAGAGCCGTTCAGTGGTTACACTATAGCATTAAACCACCAACTAGATTCACCAAATTTAAAATACAAGAAAATGTTTCTTCCTTTAATGAACTTTACCGATAAAAGCATTGACAATTAATCGAATATGTCCAGTAGTTCTTTGAGATCTCAAATAAAAAATATGCGCGCAGAAGAAAAAACCTCTTCAACCGGTTTAGCTACAGTTCTGTCTCTGATAACAGTCAGTGTTCAAACACTAGGGAGGCTTGAGAATCCACAGTTCAGTTCACATAATGCAGAATTCCTCGTCAACTCAGGTGGTGCTGCTGGTGCACAAGTCCCACTTCGAGGATCCCTGCAATCTGCTTGGTGGTTCCTCGTCTGAATTCAGGTACAGCAATGTAGATCTGGTCCACACTAATTGAACTGCACAGCCGGGCCAGTGATTCCTGATGACCACGGTTCAGGTCTGAGGGCAGAGGTCAATGGCCTATCTGGAGTGGCCCCCCACTCATATCAGCTACAGTTCAACTTGACCAGCCGGGATTTGATGTCTTGTGAGAACTCCACACTACAATATTGTTCTACACCAAAAATGAAGGTCAACAACCCTTGCAATCACAATCTGAGGGTGTAAACTGAGAGAAGAAATAGAGTGCAATAAATATAAGCACCTTCTAAACCATTCAGCACTATAATATTCTGCCGAATCAAATGTATTTCTGTAGACACATAATACTGCATGACTACACACTTAAGGTATAAGCCGTGTCTGCATATCATTAATGAAACCCTGTTACCCCCATGCACGTATACATGTAAGTCATAGGGACCTTACACAAAACTCCATGATATGACCCAATTAATTTAGCCGAAAATTTATGGAGAAATCTTAACACGGAAACCCTTAAATCCCCCTGTTATGTGAAACAAATTAAGCATTTATTTACCCTCACTTCTGTTTATAGTAAATATGACACAATCAACAATAATACTTATTTATGAAGTGTTACATGAAAAGTACATAAATGCAACTGGTACGTGAAATACATTTAAAAGGTATGCAACTGAACAAATGACTATAACCTTATTGAAATGCTCGGTGAATTCTATGATTATTTTCTATTCCCAAATCTGATATGCAGGCTTATGTTACCCTTATGCATACTGAGTATGCTTTTAAGCTTACCTGAAATCGACATGCGTAATCGGATCAAGAGTAATTAGCTTTATATATTGGCAAAACTTTGGCGTAACAAGATGAATAACGTATGAAGCAATGACGATATAACAAGTTGCCTTGCAGCTTTTGAGCGTATAGACACTGCTCAGAAAGATCCCCAAGAGTGGTTGGCCATGTCTATTTGAATCATGTCTTACGGTAAGGCCCGCCATGGCTTTTGCTGCTTTCACCAATGAAGACAAGAATATTACTCCAAAAGAGTGACCATCATTTTAATCCACTATGGCAGGGCGTTCACAGAATGGCAAAAAATCACGTGACACGTTCGTTCCACCAAATGCTATACATGACCAAATCCACATCCCGTGACTTCTTCTAGCTATCCCTGAAGTTACTTTTAGAGGTGGTTTCACTAATGGAGTCATCCAGGCAGTCACTGAAACAGGGCGGGCCAAACCTACACTCCCATATGTTTGTGCACAAAGTGCTGCTCCCATATGTTTGTACACAGACTCCCTACTGCCACGTGTCTGGTAAGTTTGTGAAGAAAATACCCTCTCCCCTCTTGCAAAGTGGACCAAGCCACTGATTCACTGCTTTTTATCATTGTAAGCGTGTCTGGAGCCCCCTTGCTGGCACCTAGCAGATAGTTTACTGACCTCCAATGAATAGGGCAAAGCCCGTCCCCTCCCTGGAATCTGGCCATGTGAAAAAAAGTTCTGCGAGTGACCACGCAAAATGACACACATGCTTGCCTGAGAAGGTTTCCGTCTCATTTACTCAGAAAGCTAGCAGGAGAATTTGATTTATGGGTCTTTTGTAATAAGTAGCTCTTGAAGGTTTGCATGGTGGAATACGATACGGTAGCGGGGTTGTGGATACACCATGTGGAAACTCAAAGAGATAGTTTCCACATGGTGTATCCGCAAACCCTCTATAGTATGATTCTGGCAATGTGGAAAACATTTTGTGAGTCACACACACAGGCTCGCCTGAGAATGTTTCCATCTCTTTTACTCATAAAGCTAGCAGGAGAATGTGATTTATGAGTCATTTGTAATAATAAACATGATTTGGCCATATTTTGGACAACGTGCCGCACAAATGCAAAAAAAAAAAAAAGACACACTGCCATCACGAAATACTAAAATTCAAAACAGCGTCAAAGAAGGCCAATAAAATATTTCGAAGAATTTGCTATCCTACTTACTCTGTGCCAAGAGATGAATCCGATGCGTCACAAGACGCAAAGCCCCCAAATCCCCGAGAGCTGACCCGTGGACAAAAGTTTATGTTTACCACTTCAACCCACCGGTGATGCTTTCACCTACCGTCGACCTATGTATTGTTTTTCTCTTGTGTGGTGCCAATCACCGCAAACCCAATTAAAAAAAACTTTAGAGGATGGTAAGTTAAGCCATCTCGGTCTCGATGGGCTTTCACTCTGGTAACAGTACCCAACAAGAAGGGAGGGTATCAACTGTGAGTCGACTACAGAGAACTTTATTGGGCCACCAGGATACATGTAGATGCCTACCAGCTATCATCCATTTTCTGTCAATTCTTTCGTGAATGCATGCTGTCACGATCTTCTTATCCCTCCCCCTCAAGAACGGGTATCATGAGATGGCAGTAGCTCCTGAAGATGTTAAAAGGACTGCATACATGTGCTAGGAGGGCTCTTTCAGTTCAGAGAGCTACCACTTGGGGTTTTCACTGGCGCCGACAATTTTCGTAGATTTCGGAGACAGTCTTGACCTCATCGGGAAAACACACTATGCATATTTGTTTGGGTGACTGTGTTATTCTTCGTCTGTGACTCAACACTTTGTTGATTGCAATAAATTCTTCAGAAGCTTCAGGACGACGGCCTAACGGTCAACGTGTGAGAAGTGCTGCAGTACCACGCTCCATCTTGACCATATTGTTGGTAAACACCGTCGGAGATGGATCCGGAGAAAGAGCAGTACCCAACGCTGACATCAGTACGGCAGCGAACACAGTTTCATGGCATGGTCAGGTGATGAGCCAAGTTTGTGCCTTATGTAGCAGACATTATAGGGCCCCTGAATCGACTTTGTGAGAAGAATATCAAGTGGGAATAGACTTGACAGTGTAAATGCACGTTAGTTTTTACAGCTTTGAAGAATAAGCTGACAGCTGACCCCATTCCTGCCTACCTTAACCTATCCCAGCCATTCCAGGTACACATCGACGCTAGTATTACCGATTTCGGTGCAATCCCGCAGCAGGAGAAGGGAGGTGATCTCTACACACCGGTTGCGCCCCCAATATAGTCCAGAGCACAACTACAGTTAAATCGAGAGAGAGTGTTCTGCAGTTGGGGAAGGGGCGTGGCCATTTAAAGGTAAAGTGATGCACTGTCATCATGAACCATCTGTCCTTAAAATGGCTGTTCCGGAAGGCCCACCTGACAGGCTTTCTTTTTGTCGATGAGTCCTGAGGTTTCAGGATTTCTGCTTTAATGTGATGTACCCTCCCGGTTCCCTTCATGTCTTACAAGATAGCCAGTATAGGGCTCGCGAAAGATTCTCTGTGGTTAAAGCTATACGTGTGGACCTCACAGAGGAGCTTCCAATCATTGATGCAGGTGACATTGAAGGGCTTACCATGAAACTGGTTCTTAGAAGCAAGTGGAAGCTATACAACTTGATTCTGTTTAGGCTGCAAGAAGCCGTAGAGTGCAGTGGGTTATTAGATTCAGTATGATCTGTGCCAAACTTGTTACAGTATATTTTGTTTCAACATCAAATGGCGCTCTGCCAAGGCTTTGCCTGTTTATACGCTACATGCAAATGCATGAAAAAGCCCTGGTGGAACCGTAACGAGTTGAGGTGGCTGGCAGTTGAAACCGGAGATGAGAGTGATCCAACTCTCCCTCTCCCAAGTGAGAAATTTTATGAAAGCTTGCAATATAATCAGAGATACCAAGCCTGTCGTTAGGAAACCACCAGGCTTGATGTCATGTAGCACTCTCAATACCGTATCCCTAAGAGGTTGTGGATGTCTTACAGGTCCTTTCCCACGTTTTTATGCTGGTCATGAGTGTTTGCTCATGTTTTAGATAGTTTGGGGTTTTTTTTTCAAAAAAGGCAGGGATGATCCTGGTTCAGGAAGACAACGGACATATGGTGGCGTCCTTGCTTGTTCTTCAACGTGTTTGAAAACAAAAGACCTCAGTTTGCTTCCATAACTATGGCGGTAGTTTGTAAAAAGTGGGTTGTACAGCAGGTACCTATATCAGCGTGAGTCGAGACCACGAAAGACCTCCACGAGAATACATGACACCAGCACAAGACCGACACAACACCTAAAGTTTGAATTCAAGTCACAAGCCATTCAAATAATCAAAAACATTCCTTTGTTGTTATTCACCCTGTTACTCGTGTCCGGTCTTGTGTTGTCTCGACTAGAAGATGGTTTAATATGCCCGTACCATCTACAAACCAACTGGGTTGAACGGGCGAATAGAAACCTTAAGGGGGTGACGGGATCTTATTTTGCAACTAGTCATCGTTTGTGGGATGTCCAAGTGGCAACATACGCTTGTGCGCTTAAATCAGCCATTCATTCAATGCTGGGTTGTGACCTGCAAAGTTTTCCATACCAGCTAGTCTCCCATACCAGCTAGACCAGAACAACAGAGTCCAGAGGTATTTCTTGAGGAGGTCTAAGAGAATATGCACAGGGCTAAGCGAGAGAGAAAACACCACTACGACAGGCGACGGAGTCAAATGCAGTGCCCAGCTGGAGACAAGGTCATTCCTCAGACTCATTCGTAGTTAAGCGCGGAGAAGCGCTTTCCCGTCAAGCTTGTTGCGAAGCAGTCTGACTCATTCCCTGTTCTGAAGCAGTTTATTCTCGTGAAGTATATGCTTGGGCCAGTATTATCTCCGGGAAGTACAATAAAGCCCACATAAATCATCTAAAACCCTGTTGATTTAAAGTTGTTACTTTGGCCTGTACTCTAAAGAATATTGGCTACCAGTCCACGATCTCAAAACATACACACCGTAAGCATCATTTTAACAAAGTAACAAATTAGCAATAAAAAGAAGACAAGAAAAGAAATTCATAATATATTTTGTTTTCAGAAAGATTAAACTTTCTTGTGTCCAATAACATGTTGAGTCTTTTTCTTTTCCGCAGGCTAGGACTAAAGAACAAAATTTTGGGAAATTGAAGAGATCATCTTTAATGTAGTAAATTTTGTCAAGTTTTCTGTCGTCAGCTTTCTGAGAGATTTGTATTTGTTCCGGTTCAAACCCCGCAAACCTCGACGGTGAAATCTTAGCACCATCGTGGTTTATTTGTTCTTATGGGCGTGCATTCCCAGGGTTTTCTATTCAGCCCGTCTATGCAGATGGGCTTGCGTTATCGAATCAGCAAATACTACAAAATTTCAAGTGAAAAAAACACAATGCGTATCGACCCAATGCAAATGACAATGGCTTTAAGTTACAGGGCAATGACTTGGAGTCTTTCAAGCATTCCTTTACAAAATATAATGTTTATTTTCATGTGAAATTTACAAGGATGCTCTAAAACCCCATCTTTGGTGTACAAATATAGTGAAGGTGACCTCACACACGTGTACACACACACAAGTGTGTAAAAGCCTTCAGTCGTGGACTCCCTGTTGTTCCTCCTTTGTTCACACTTCAACTTTTTTCAGAAGACCTCCCATATGTTTTGTACACGTTTTACAACCGTGGACTCTTCGGCAACCGTGGACCCTATTGTCCCCTAATGTTATAGGTCCACGACTGAAGGCGTTTACACACTCACTTGGCTACTCACAAACATATATATGTGTGCATGCTTAACGTATTTTACACATATGTACACATAATGTGCATGTTCTATCCAAATGGATTTCGGCAGATATTAAACAAATTCTTTCAATAAATCACTCCTTTCAAAGTTCCACCAAGGGTTTCCAGAATGTCCCTACATGACTCCAGAGGAAGTCGGCTTGATGTCTCAGTAGACATTGATGAAGGAAAGCAAGAAACTTTCACCTGTAAAGCACAGTCAAGACCAGCTGCCAAGATGGAATGGTTCCTTGATGATACCTCACAGGGTGTCATTGATGCACCGATTGGAGTAGGAGATGGATTGATTAATACTACAAGTTCTTGGTCACTGACTGCAGTCAGAGGCAACCATGGACAGAGGGTGAAATGTGAGGCGAGTACAGCTGAGTCAGATATAAATGCACTCCCATATGTGACAGTGACAGTTAATGTCAATGGTAGGTATCTACAGTAAGTTTTCACGTCAAACATCGAAATAACTTCACATTGCCAATTGCAGGTATGCTGTAACGTTGTCAATTCGGAATTCTTGTTCCTAGGTCCTCCCGACAATGTTTTCATATCAGGAATGACCTTAATGACAGAGGATGTGGCATCTACACTAACATGTACAGCAGCTAATGCATATCCTGAACACTGGAGTCTTGTGTGGTCTAACGTGTCCAGTAATGGAGACATAAATATACCTGGTGCTACCTCAGACCCTCCATTATCAACCAATGGCCGGTACACGTTCACAAGTAGACTGGACTTGACACCAAGTAGACACGACAATGGAAATAGTATCAGATGTGCTGCACGTTGGAATTCATGGACGCCAGAGCCTCTGGATACCTTTGGCCCTCTTAACGTTCAGCGTAAGTGTGGCAAACTGTGATAAATAAAACAGCTGGGGAAATCGTTTTCAAGCACTGGACTATAGAGCTACATATAAAAACTAGATCTCTAACTTCTCATTATCCTGGGCACAGATATTTTGAATCTATCTGCATGCTTGTAGAACATTCAATATCAGAGAGAACGGATGTCGATTAATGCATTCTAAATGCAACGCTCAAATGCAACATTGGCAAATGTCAGCGCGCGTTTGAATAAGGCGTAGACGTACAGAGCAAGGGCACATGTTTATTACGTCCATAGCTAAATATTTTCAAACGAATATTACCCTAACATTCAAACAAAGTCGTCTGATGTTGTATGCATGCCTTTTGATTCATTGATTTCATTTTTGAAATTCAGACATGATATACAATGCAACACATGAGATTCTGATGCTTTATGCTTAGTGGAATTTGTTCTTCCATAGATGAGGCTATCATCACCAATAAAGGAATGACTGAGGAAGTTGTTAAAGATGGAGGTAGCGCTTCCTTAACCTGCATTGCGGAAGGCAACCCTAAGCCAACTATGCAGTGGTATGATCTGAATAACACAGTGGTAACTAATGAGACAGACACGGCTAAGTTCGTGTTGGTGAATGTCATCACTGGTGGAGAAGGTGTGTATGGGCTCCAAGTGACCAGCACTTTGACAATCAACGACATTGATTCTGGCCTGGACTTCGGGATGTACACCTGCATCAGCACCAATGGAATAGGAGAGGAAGACATGCTGAAGGTCAATCTCACTGGAACAAGTATGTCAAATTCTATACAAGTTAATATGACGCCCTCTTCCCGTTCCTTTGTTTTTCTACCTTGGAGAAAAAATTATTTATTCCCCTCGATAGATTTATTCGTTATTTCGTTTAGAAACTGCTTCTGGTAAAATCTAAAATCTTAGAGGATATACCAATTCTACATGAATTTTTAATTTAGGAAAGGCATTTAGGGGAATTTTATAATAATGTCACCTTTGCTCAGTCTTCCTTGTGTTTGACCTTTGCAAACGGTGTTATTGCGGGAATAATACACCAGTCTGTAATAACTTCAAGAAAATTACTTGAACAAGGCACCATAAGGCATAATGCGGTAACGCATACAACCTCTTCAATTACACAATCACAAAATGTATTCATTTCAGTGTATCGTGGGTTTTGTCCACACACGGATATTTGTTTCAACTGACAAAAGCTCTTTACTTTAATGAATGTAGATTTCCAGGCCTTCAGTTTGTATCCTTCATCCCAACTTATGAATTGGTTTATATGTAGGACGGCCAGACAAGCCTAGCAGTGTTATGATCACTGGTCAGACAGCACAGTCCCTGACTGTGGCGTGGACAGCAGGGTATGATGGTGGTGAGGAACAATCATTCCGTGTGGCTTACTTGAAGACATCAGACTCCACAGAGACAAGGGCTGGTAATAATGTGACAGGTGGTAAGACAACATACCTAGTGACAGGTCTGGAGGACTACACAAAGTATGAGATCAGGGTGTATGCCAAGAATATCATCGGTGAAAATACTGACTATGCCAAAGTAGTGGGACACACACTGCGTAAGTACGATTTTGCTCGCCAATTTAACTGCATTTTCTAGCATTCAGTCTTGTCATCACCAGTATCGACGTTTTATTAATGCTTGCGTTTTTCTTTATTCCCACCATGTACTTCTTGACCATGTAAAACAACAAAAACAGTGTGGCCACAATCGCAGATACCCCACCACTCACCTTGCCCACCCCGTAGCCGCGGATATGGAGTCACGCTTCACTGACTCACCCACTGATCTCTGTGATACATGTGAATGAACATTTAGGATCTAGAAATAAAAGGCAGAACTAGAGCAAATGGTTTAGGGGAACGTAACGAATAGAGGTTAAGCACAGAGCAATCTTCCTGGTCAGTGTTCCATACGGTTTGCTTCTTGTGTGATGCTTTCTCGTTAGAATGTTCGTGATATTCCTCACTATTCACAAGTAGAAAAATGTCAGGGAAAACTCGGCAAAACTGAAAAAAATACCATCTAAAATGTTGGCTTCACTTCCAGCTTCTGACTCTGTATCTTTGGAGGTAAGTAGGAAAGACGGACAAAAACTTGCCAGAAAAAGGATTTGTATCGTGTGCAAGTTATCAAAGGGGACTTTGAGTGTTGAAATACTAATCAATATGGAAATAAGGGACAAACAACATTTTCTGAGCTTGATGTTGTTCGATTACTTTTGGGATCCACCTGTCCAAGTCAAGAGCCATTTTACAGGCTTCTGGCCAAAGATCGTATAGCCCTGTAGCGGCGCAAGATGGCAAACTTCACCGTGAATACACGTAAAACGTTGTAATCGCATGGGCGCCATTTGAGCAAGCGATACGCCTGCGCAATGAACATTAATGCGCAGGCGCTGCGGCAGGCGCGTGTACCTGGTGAGCCTGCGCCCAAGCATTACCTAAGCATTGCTCAAATGGTGCCCATGGCAATTACACCTTTAGGGCAGAGTTATCCATCTTGCGCCTTCGGCGCTACATGATCTTTGCTTCTGACTACAGTGGGAATCAGTACGTATGAGCACAAACTAAGTGGGGATTGAACATACGTGTTAGGAAGAAAGGAAGTATGATAGACTTTAAAAGTTACTTTCTGTCGTTATTGTCCAAAAATGATCTGGGGGCGTCCTAACACTTTGTTGCTCACATTGCGTTCATCACAGTAGTTACATGCTTTAATTTAGTTTGAAGCGGCATCATTAAAAATCGCATGTCATTAAGTGCGTTTCTATTCTCTTTGCATGTTTTGCTCATTAACGGAATGCGTACATCTGCTCAGCAAAGTCTCCTTCACCAAACTTGGGTGAGTCCAGCCGTAGGATAAGCAAGTTTATTGTTTAGAACGTAGGATTATAGCTACGTTCAGTTGTCTATTTTCTCTTTCCCCTACAGTGGGGAGCATCATCGAAAATATGATCAAATATATTACAAGTACTGTTGACTGTATGTCACCATTCGAGGCATGGACAATAATTTAATAGGAATGTAAATTAAAGGGTTAGATGGATTTTGATGATTACTTTGCATTGTATTTTTTATTTAATAACCAGGGATTACTGTGGAGTACAACACTGATGATGGGACTGTAAAAGTCACAGGGTTGAGGATAGAGAATAGTTGCATCCAGCTTGAAGTCAAGTATGAAGGCAGCGACACCCGGCAGGAATGTGGAAAGTGTATTGCCTCAAATCGGACAGTGACACTCTCTGAATGGTGTGCAGCATCACAGAAGAGAAGAAGAAGAGCTGTAGGTGACATTGAAGATGTCCGCGCTAAACTCTGCATTGGCGGTTTGTGTAGTGAGGCAGCACCTGCTAAACAAGGTGACCATTACGTCAGACTGGGTTACAACAAAATATGGCACTGAAACATGGGCAATCATTGCGTCTGAAAGTTTTTTGGGGGGGAACATGAGCTGACATTGGCCAGCTCATGAGAGGGCCTCTGTGTCAAAATAAGGTTTATACTCAAAACATAGAGGATGTCACTCGTCAATATTGTCACTCATGAATTTACAATTTAGTAAGCATCACTGTACATTCTTTTTATGCCCCTAAACTGATCTCAGAATAACTTTCCACCTGATACATTATAATGTGAGATCGGTGATATAGGACATTTGTAAACATATTACAGAAGTTAACGTAACATACGAAACATCATTTCTCTCACATGTGTGATAGTGAAAGACCCCATCCCAGAACTCAACCGGCCAGCAGGTAGCACTGGGATCATTGTCGGTGTCGTAGTTGCAGTTGTCGTGTTAACTTTAGTCATCTTACTTGGAGTCCACGCAAAGAGGAGGTTCAAGTTCCGGAACCATAGCAAGCGTAAGATTGATAACCATCATTAAGCTTTAAAAAACGCTCCTGACAAAATGAGTCTGCTTTCACAGACCTCTGGTATGATCTCATTGTTATGTTGAAAGCTAATCAGGCTGAAATGACGTTCAAATTGATTAATCGGTCGTTACACTTGCTCCTGTATCATGTTTGCAATCAAGCAACCTGCAAGTTACACTGACCTATTATTTGATTTGATTTCAGAGGACAATGAAACCCAGTGCACAGCAAAGTAAGTTGACTGAGTATTTTTTCCTGAGTTTGTTGGTAAATGTATTTATTTGTCATTCTCCTAATTGAAAGTAGTTTTGATAGAAATCACAATCGTGTCTTTTTTAATCAATCTTCCCAAGGAGTCTAAGTCTGAAACCAACAAGTTCAAAGTCACCCAGATATGCAGATACAGATGCACAGTCACCATACCAAGAAATAACTGGTACGATATAAGGGAGTTAATATATATTATATATATTTAGATTTAGATTAAGTTCGAAGCATCGTGGAGGTCCCCTGCAGGGAAAGGATCGACGAAACTTTGCAAGATGATAGTGTAGCAGTTGCAGTGAAAAAAATTAACTCCTTGAGGCGCTTTACAAACTATTACTTTGACAGTTACTTAGAATGATTATTTTATATCAATTCCAGAATTGGCCGCCATTAAACAGCCAGCGTATCAGGATCAAGTAGTTGCAACATACTCAAATGTCACCATGGAACGCAAGGCATTCCCACGTGATCAATTGAAGATTATAAAGGAGCTTGGACAAGGTGCCTTTGGCCTGGTTCTTCTTGCTCAAGCTACTGGGATAACAGAGAGGTCAAAGGTCACCTTGGTAGCAGTTAAGACACTCAAAGGTTGGGATCAGGAAATTTCATTGCCATGCATGCGAGCGTTAATTCCATGTAATTGGAGATGTCGGAACAAAAACCTGTGGTGTAGTTTAATTCTTACCTCCAGAACATTACTACTCAGTATACTGCAACTTTGTTTCTTCTTTTTAAAGCTTACTAGGTGTGTGCTGTTGCGAGGGTTGTAGATAATAAATGTCATATTCTATATAACACGTTCGGTTTATGCCAACTTTTACAACAGACGGCGCCAGCAAGACTGATAAAGATGGCTTAATGAAGGAGCTAGACTTGATGAAGAAGTTACCAGACCATTGTAATGTAGTCAGGCTCCTCGGATTTTGCATAAACGACGGTAAGCGCACATCTAAGAAGCATTCAAGCTGTAAAAATCGAAAAAAATGCTGCTCAGTTTCACATGAGTATTTAAATAAGCTGCTTTTGTGACGTTTCTCTCTTTGATGCCCTGAATTTTCAATCGAACCTCACTTAAAGCATCGCAGACAAGACAATATATCCCCTTAATAAATACCCCAGACAGACTTCCCAATACGCCGATTTACAATAGTGCGCCTCCAGGTTTTACCAACATGTTGACCAATCACAGTACGCGAAAACTATCAACCCTTTCAAAACGCACTTGGTCGAGAGATGTTGTGCAGTGTAAATGGTCAACGCGTTGCGAACTCTTGGAGGCGCATTATTGCGAATCGCCCGTATTCAACAATAGGTAACTTAACCGTGGATAATAATCCCGCTGCATAATTCACGCATTGGAACCTGAATGCGAGAGCTTTCAATCAGTTTTGATTAATGAAAAGTCTGACTGTATGCAGGTCGGAACACGCGCACTAATTCCATAGAAGGAATATACAATAAAATGGACCCGGTTGATTGGGGGAAAAAGAAATTGTAGGAAAAAGGTCGGAAACCCACAATCTTATGACTTCTTTTGACTTGCTTACTAATTCAACTATTTATAAATGAATGGGGATAGATAAGTGCTTTACATAGGAGAGTGAACCCGAATAATGCCCTCTCTCCTGCTGCTCGGTCGTTAGTCGCGTCCATTCTCCTCAACTGGTCTTCAGTGCAAAGACCGGTCCAGCATATATTTATTCGCTTATTCAAAGTTCCCTTTCTGACAATCAGACCCACCATACATCATTGTTGAGTATCTGTCCAGAGGCAATCTAAAAGATCTTCTTCGAGACAGTCGCAGTAAGGGTGGGCGTGTCTATGGCAACCTGCATGGCATCAGTAAGTCACTGACTTCAAAGGATCTGATGAAATTTGCCAAGGACGTTGCAGATGGAATGGCCTTCATCTCATCCCAACAGGTAAATCTGCTCTTAGTTTAGTTCCCTTACAAATATTGGTTTGAATTCACGTGGTTGACAGTTTGTCTTCGTTGCCTTATTCATACCCAGTGCATCCACAGGGACCTAGCTGCCCGTAACGTGCTAGTGGCTGAGGACATGTTATGTAAGGTGTCTGATTTTGGACTAGCTCGTGACGTTATGAACATCCGAGTATACGAACGAGGGTCGGAGGTCAGTCATTTCAATCTCGTGCAGTAAACATCAGCTGTTAATAAGTTCAAAGACTTTGTGTCAGTTGTGTATGTTTATTTCAATTTTTCTTACACAACAGCCAGTTACGTTATTTTAATCCCGTTCAATTAAAGGACATCAGCTGCAAAAGGTCGGGAGACTTTGTGTCAAGTTTTGAACTTTGATTTCAATTTTGTAGGGTGCTCTACCCATGCGTTGGATGGCTCTTGAGTCGCTGCTGGATGACGTCTACACAACAGAGAGTGACGTATGGTCATTTGGTATACTTTTGTGGGAAATCGTCACTCTTGGTAAGGAGTGGATCATCGATATGTTGTTCGGTCCAAAATGTAATAGTCCACCCTTACCCTGCGCTGTATTGTCGAGTTTATGTAACTGTGCACTTTGGATAAGTCTGTATCCTTTTTGTGGTTTCAAAGCCCAGATTTCTTTCTAATTAATTATTTAAATACATCAGTTGGCGTCTTCTAGCCTCTACAGCTAGTAAAACCCGCAGAAAGTAGGTCAGGGTCCGGCAGAGTCCTTGTTTCCCAGGCTGTCTCGATTTGAGGGGAGCGCACAACGGCCTAGCCCGGCTTGGCCAAACCACAACGCCTCAACCCACCAAAATAACACTTCAAAGACAGCCAATTATGTTGCTGGGAGCTGTCACTGACAGGAGACAGACACTGTCTGGCCCAGGCGATACCCAGCTTACGCTGGATACACTAAAGCTATTGTGCCTACTGCACCTCTTCGGAAATGTGAAAAGAATTCTGAAGGTTAAGTCAACACTAAAGAAGACACAATAGAGGAGGGGGTCCCCTTTGCCGCATATCGCGCGTCAAATGGCCCAGGCCCCGTTTATGTAAATAATTCCACGTATAATCCTATGCGTTCACTTCATGGTGATATTTATATACAGTCCCATCTGATTTGGCTAGAGGCCGGCTGGATTTTTTTCTCCCTGGCTAAGGGGAAGCTTAAAAGTGACTAAACCAGGCTTTTCAGCACGAACAGAGGTAGGATATCAGTGTTCATTGCATTTGAAGGTAAGTTGTTTTATAACAAATTAGCAAAAATGGTCTCTTTTCAAGAGACCATTGGCTATTCCCATTCAATTTTGTAGCGTTTTAATGGAACATTGGTACTCCTTGTAGGTTCTCGTCCATATCCAGCTATGACCGCTAAGATGATGGTTGCTGAGCTTGAGTCAGGTTATCGAATGCCAAAACCACAACACTGTCAAGAAGAATTGTGAGTAGACCTCTTCCCAACTCCTTTCTAATGTTTCCAACGTTTTCAGGTTGTTGGTTTCCAAAATATATGGTAGTGAGAAATTCGTAGTGGTGATTTTTGATCAGGCTACTGTGTACAATGCATATCACTCTTGTTCCATTCATCCTTGTGTCGTGCTGGTTCCTCTACGGTTACAATGAGATATAGATCATTGTTTACAAATGTATTGTGTTAGGTATGAGATGATGTTGAGATGTTGGGATGAACATCCAGAGAGCCGACCTACTTTCAAGATGATCAGTGAAGAGCTGGAGGGACTTGTCAACAAAGGAAAGGTACGAAATCACGAAACGATTAATATTGTCACAATGAGGGTAAAACAATAGGCCAATCCAATATCAAAGGCGCGTAGTTTTAAGGTATTTGGTAAAGGGGTTCGTTTAACATTGTAAATTAATTTGTGGAAAGGTATATTGTGCTATTTTACATTATAGTTTCATCCTAAAATGTTTGTTAGTTCAGTTTCTGAATAAATTGTCATATAGAAATTCTGTACTAAGACGAAAAGTAGGATAGCATAAGAGGCCCCAAGGTTTCTCTCCTAAGCAAGCTCTCACCCCACTATTCACTTTTTAAAATGATCTACACTTGTAGAAATGAAAGATGACCATTGAGCTGCATTATATGTATTTTGTCGTTTTTTACGGACAGGAATACATATCGGTCAAGAACTTTCAAGAGACGATTTATGAGGTCGTTCAAGCAGAAGATAAAGAGGAAAAGGTTTAACCAAACGATGGTTTAAGGTTCAGTTACCTACAGGAATAGAGTTCCTGCATTTGTTTTAAAATATATTGGATAAAATGGATCTTTGTAATGTTATTTCGTGTAACTGTAGTTCCGTTTTCATTTTTGTGGCGGCGACACTCGCCGTCGCCCGCCGGTCGACGAACACCGAAGTACCCACCAACAGCGGGCGNCGTCAGTCCACAGACTGTTTCACCACATTTTTGACGAATTTGTACAATAAAGAAAAATTCAATCAATTTTGGCAGAGAAACAAGAATTAATACCAGTCACTGCATAAAAACGTTAACCACTTGACGCTGGTGGCACTTGATGATGCTAGGCTGGGATAAGTATCATTTTTCTGTTTTCAAAATTCTTTAAAGATTCCTACCTTCATTTACTGGACACTTACACCCACGTGAAGGAATGTCTGGTGGCCACTCTAGCCTGACAAACAAAACCTATTGACGCCGGAGTCTTTCAGCCAGGCCTGCAGCCTTGTAAAAAGAGCCAAGATTGTGCCATTATGTAACTTTCTTTTGTTCCCGAAACCGGAACAGTGCGCCGCTGACATCTTTTCAATAGGGGGCAGATTAGCATGAAGAGGTGCTGTGTGGCTCATCGCTGCGGTGGTGGAGCGCTTTTGTCCTCGGTGGTATAATCCGCTCGCTCTAAATACCCAAAGCCCGTGATATACTGTTTCAAAACAAGGCTGGATTATCTCCACTTTTGAGAGTGAAAAATGTCGGTAATGCCCAGCAGCCTGGTCTTTTGTTCGGAGTACGGTCTTTTGTTACGTGACCCAGTTCTCTTTGTCCGATTCCGAGACCCCGGCCACGCGTATAAAGCATATGTCTCCGGATCCGGAATCCCAGTTGAAAGTGGTTTTAAGGACAATTCAACAACAATTCTATCGTAATTACTTTTATTACTGTAGATCAGACTCTTGTTGATTCAACTTGTTAGTTCGACTTTTCAATGAGTGACGCATGGTACAGACCTATAAATGTGGTAAATGGATATGATTGTAAGACCTCACTTTTGACAGAGAAGAAGCAAAACTGGTAGCCATTTGCAGCAGCTAATGATAGACAGTAGTTCGATATATATAACGTATGTACATTTACAGAATGTTTAAATGCATTCAGATCATGGGCCAATTTCATAGAGCTGCTTTAAGCACAGAATTTGCTTAAGCACAAAAAAACTTGCTTCATAAACAAATGTTATTAGCTTAAACTCTATGTGATTGTCATTCTAACCTTAAACATTTTTTTTTGCTAAAGCAGCGCTATGAAATTGACCCCGAGGTTTTAAATTACGGTTAAGTTATTTTACCATGTTGAGGATACGGGTGTCTGAGCAGTCCTTGCTTCATGTTTATTTTTTTTTACTATAGGGAGGAAAGTCTCCAGTACTTTTTTCTAGTAAAAGCTTTAAAAGTGTAAAATAGATTTATTGGAGATATGCTGAGCTCAAGGCTTGTAAATGTGAAATGTAACGTTCAATTACGCAGAAAAAGCACATCGATAAAGAAGCATTCCGAATAGTATTCAGACAATTTACCGAGTGGCTTAGCCTATACATTAGCAATGACATCTAATATTATTTAACATATGCTTTTCATTCACTATTTTTCCGATCAATTCGGGTGTCAGAAGCTTCTATTTATATAGTACTGAACCACAAAATGCACTCTTGTAAGTCCCAAACCAAGGGGATGATGTATCCTGATCAGAGCAGTGATTGGTATCTTGTTTAAATCTGCGTGAAGACCCAAGCACCAACACCAGTTGTTTTGGGATCACTTTACAGGGTTAATCGGAATATTTTAGTTATACTATATAAATTAACTAGAGAATACTCAGGGTCCTTTGACTACTGGTTTAGAGTACTAGTAATCAGTAGACATACATGTTTGAGAAGACTCTGACATGTCGACACTGAAATCAAGTAGATTTTCAGAGGTGTTCCATTTTGCCAGAAAGTCACTGAAATAAATCCTCGCGCGTTTTAGTTAGTACATCATGCTGTCCTGTGCTTCTTCACTATTCCATTTCTAAAGACCCGACCATAAAGAACTTGATTTTTCAAACTCAACCACGGGATTTACTGCATAAACATTGGATACCAAGAGAGGCAGTTAATGTTTGCATTCAGTGCAAGTATTCATTGTAGTGTTATAGGGTCGTTCTCATTTTCTAACATTGTACTTACATAAGATAAGAGAGAGTGATCAGAAAATATCGCAGCCACCCATTCTCAACTACAAGTCTACAACTGCATAACGTTGAGTGTTAGTAACCAAAAATTGCGACTCTTTCAAACACCCTGTGAAGCACTAATTGACGGGCAATGGCATAAATTTGTGTTGGAAATTGGAAGAAGGGTGATAGGGAAAGGCACATGTAGGGGTTGAGTTTTTTTGAAAAGCGGGGTGATGACACCATATGACTCTATATAGAGGTGGATGTCCAGGATACTGATGTTTATCTGTAATATGAATTCAGGACGCCATATTGGTAATCTTTTTCATTCCCTTTCCCTTTTTGAGGGATATTTAATGCGTTCTAATCGTTGGAAGTCTTGGAGATTCTCCCCAATTCACTTATATTTTTTTTTGATCACCACAAAATTGGCATGGGGTGATTCGATAGCCCATCCCCACTTCAAAAGTGTAGGGGATGTATACCCCAGTCCCCTGGATTTACGCCCATGCTGTCGGGAGTAAATGAATTTGCAACAATCGTTTGATCTCTGTATAACTTGCCAGAAGGGATTTGGAACCTCCGTTCGTCACCCAGCGCCCACATGGGAAGCAAATACGCCTCACATGGGGCCTGAAAGTAAAAGGTCATTGAGTTTCAAAACGGGGATTTTACACAGGAGAGTTAAATCCCACTCGACAGTTTTGAACTCAATTAAGAAACACTTATGTCCGATTTTTTATCTTTGTGTTTTATACTCGAGAAGCTTTTTTTTTTTAAGTCACCCGGGGATGGATACAATGAATTTCAGTAAGCACCTTTCTTTTCCTGCAATATTTTACTTAAGTCCTTCTTTTTGTGCTGAAACAAAATTGTATAACGTTGCAAGGATTTATCTAGTCTACCGCAGTCGATTTGTTATACATTAAATTGAATTGACCCTATTCAGTTCTTGTCAGCAAAGGATAGATTAAACTTTGAAATCTTTATATCGCTGTTTAATCCTTTGAGTTTATTTCTTGCTAAACTGTACTGCGCTTAACATGTTTTGACCTGTTTTTACAAGTATTTTATCTTTTACCGAAAGACAATACATGTACTACAAAATATTATTTCGTAAATGTCATCCGCGTATACGAGAACACAGAATCGCACTTACCTTCATGCATTATAGATTTTCGGAAGTTAGAGGCTGCTTTAGGAGGAAATTTGTTTCAGGCCAGATAATTTTCAGCCTCTTTAAATAAAATACGCAATCAACTATTTCGGAGCGACCTTTGTCTGAGGTTATTTTAAAGAAGTAAACAAACAAAAAAAGTTACAGATTCCCAAAATGTGGACATTATTTTCCTTATCCTAGGGCTCCACAAACGCGCCATTCCAGAGAGGAGCTGGGAAACTCTCAGCATCTATTTTCTGCGAAGGAAATCATCATTGGCAGCTCAGTCTCGAGAGACCATACTCAGAGTGCCCTTGGAGTGTTGAGCTGTGTGGCAACGTCTGTTATGACTGCGGACCGATGCGAGAGTGACAGTCCTTGCAATTGATGCAACTGCAACATGCTTTCTCCTTGCCGTCTTCCCTGTTGCGAGCTGGCCTCTATTCGCGTCTGCTCTCTGATACCTTTGCGGACAGTCTGGCGACAGGCACCTTGGTTTGCAGCTTGTATCTCCCAACTATCTTGGGAGATATTGCACGCCTTCAGATCACGCTTAAAGGTATCTTTCAATCGAAGTAAGGTCGGCCGACACGTCTGGTATCGGATGCCAGCTTGCCATATAGGATATCTTTGGGCAGCCTCCCGTCCGGCATACCCTGACTATGTCCAAGCCAGTGTGGACGGCGTAGGCTCAGCAGAGAGTACACACTGGGGATTTTGGCACGCTGTAGAATGTCACTATGAAGGATGTGGTCCTGCCAGCTGATTCCAAGGATGCGCTTGAGACATCGCACGTGGAAGGTGTTCAGTCGGTGCTCCTGTCTCATGTAGGTAGCTCAGGACTCACTAGCATAGAGTAAGGTACTGAGAGCAAAAGCCTGGTAGACTTGGATCTTTGTGTGTTCCGTCAGAGCTTTGTTCTCTCGCACTCTCTTGGTTAGCCTCATCATGATGGTATTTGCCTTCCCAAGTCGTCTATTGAGTTCAACATCGAGTGACAGGTTATTGCTGACAGTCGAACCCAGATAGAGGAAGTTGTCCACGGCTACAATGGTGACTTGTCGGTATTAATGGAGGGAGCAACACTGATACCTTGTACGCAGATGTTGGTTTTCTTCAGGCTTATAGAAATCCCGAACTGCTTACAAATGTTGGCGAGGCGGTCACGCAACATCTGGAGGGCATTCTCAATACGGGTCACAAGGGCTGGATCGTCAGCGTAAAGCATCTCTCTGACAAGATCTGACTTCACCTTGGTCTTAGAACGCAGGCGTGCCAGGCTAAAGAGCTTCCCGTCAGATCTAGTATGCAGATAGACACCATCTAGGGACGAGTCAAAGGCATGGCACAGGAGCAAGGACAAGAAAATCCCAAAGAGAGTTGGCGCCAGTTCACAGCCCTGCGTGGCACCGTTGATGACAGAAGGACTCTGAAGAGGATTCATCTTACAGGACTGTTCCCGTCATGTTGGTATGGAAAGAGATCACCGTGCTACGGAGCTTGGGAGGGCAGCCGATGTTCTCTAGGAGTTGGAATAGACCCTTCCTGCTGACCAGATCGAAGGCTTTGGTAAGGTCAATAAACATCAGGTAAAGCGGCTAACCCTGTTCTCTGCTCTAGTCTTGGAGCTTACGAAGGGTGAAGATCGAATCTGTTGTTGACCTACCTGCCCTAAAACCGCACTAGGATTTGGGGTAAACTCGTTCAGCAAGTAACTGCAGCCTGCT